CTTCCACCTGGAAAAGCTTAAAAGAATGAATAGGGATTAACCTTATTAATATAACCCTATATAATATAATCCTGACAGCTGGGTTCTGTTGAAGTTACTCTTCGGTAGGATGTATATTAATAGAGATCGACACCATTTAAATCATTTTCTGTTAATGGAGAAAAACCATTATGTATGGGATTCCTCCCATCTTCTGTTCAGGCCTATTGGTAGGATCCTCTCCGTCTCCAAATTAAAGTGGCGTGCTCCAGAGCATGGCATTTAACTTGATTCTTTCAACAAGAGTGGCAAATTATCAGGGGCATGGGCTTGAAACCAGAGAGCTGCTCTTCTACCTGTTGGAGGATCTTATGTTCCCACCCTGTTGTCTGTGTCCTGTGCCTTAGGCATTTGCTTTGTGCCAAACGCAGCCCACAGCACCCTGGAGCAGCCCCGTGGCCCATGCTCATTGTCACTGGCAGTGGGGTGTAGGTTGCCAAATTTTTGTTCTTTATTCATGTCTCAGAGCAGTGAATAATGTCTCCAAGGAGAGAAAATATTCCCAGCTAACAATGCCCAAAATCCAATTGTCCCATAGTGGCTGAAACTACAAGAAGAATGAAGTCTCCCTGAAAAAGCTGGGGAGGAGAAAAGTGCCAGCATGGGGCATGGACAGATTTTGGCACCCAATTGGAAGATGGGGAGAAGTCTGGTTCCCGGGAGGGTGTGAGTACAGGCAGAGAGGCACAGGGAATGAACTTGTGCTTCTCGCCATCAGCTGGGGGCTACGTGGATGGACAGGCAGAGGCCAGAACTGCATTTCTGAAAAACCTGCCATGGTTTCTGATGTGGAGAACCTTCTTCTGCTTGAGGGGGCAAACATGAAAGGCAGATGAGTTGTTTGGAAAAACTGTCATTTCAGAGCACGCCTGCTCTGCTGAAGCATGAGGCAGGAATTTTGGGAGGTGGCAGCACCCCGTACCACACTCATGGCCCCAAAACCAGCACAGCATCTCCCCCAAGCATCACTTTTTGATTTTTACAGCACCGGTGGCAAGTTGTGCAGCTAAAAGCAGCTCACATCTTCCATTAACGCATTTTAACATCATTAATCTTTCAGGGAAATCCTGCCGTACTGCAAGGCACACGCTGGGCTGCAGGTTAAATCTGTGTGTTTAAGAAGCACCGTTCCACCTTCTTGCTGCAGTGATGGCAGTCCTCCTTCCTGGGGATCTGACAACATCAGCAGTGGCTTGAGTGCTGGTACTGGCATGAGGTTAATAGAAAACCTTCACCATAGCTCCTCCTTTGGAAAATGAAGCTGAAGTTTTCAAAGCTACACCAGAGAGGTATGTAAGGAAATTAGGGAACATACAATAGAAAATAGAATCATAGGAGTTGGAATGGGCCTCTGGAGACCATCAAATTGAACAAGCTGGACATACACAAGTCCTTGGGAAGTCATGGGATGCTGAGGAAACTGGCCTATGTCAGTGCAAGACCACTCTCGATCATCTTTGAAAGGTCAGGGCAATCAGAAGAGGCTGCTGAAGACTGGAAGAAAGAAAACACTCCTCTAAAAAGGACAAGAACAAAGATTTTGGGAGCTACAGACCAGTTAGCTTCATTTCAATCCTGGGAAGGTGCTGGAGCAACTGATCCTGAAAGCCGTTTGCAGACATATGAAGAACAAGAAGGTGACTGCAAGTAGTCAGCATGGATTTATGAAAGGAAACTTACACTTGATCAACCTGGTAGTCTTCCAGAGTGAGATGGCTGGCTTGGTAGATGAGGTAGATGTTATTTATGCAGACTTCAGTAAGACTTTTGATACTCTCTCTCTTACCAACTTCATAGTTAAGCTGAAGAAGTATAGGCTAGATAGACAGTCAGATGGACTGAGAACTGGCTGAACTGCTGGGCTCAGAGGGATGTGATTTGTGACAAAAGTCCAGCATTGTGCCAGAGGTGTACCCCAGGAGTTAATACCTGGGCAGCTTTATTAGTGGCCTGGACAATGGGCTAGAGAGCACCCACAATAAGGTTGCAGATGACTGCCAACCTCACCCATTTTGCAATTCTGTATGACCCAGCTTAAAACTGATATGATTTTTATTTCTCCATTCAATTTTTGGTACAAAGACTTTTTAATGAATGATTGAACAGCTTTTTGTTGGCAAGGAGGGATTATCTCATATCCTGGACTTCATCAACTCTCAGGCCAAATGAAACAGTCTATAGGTCTTCACAAGGACTAAACAGTTCTGCTACCAGGTGTACTTAACAGGGCTTGAAAAGTTACCTTGAAATAATGGGAATTCAGCAAAACAAATTGTATTGTTTTCTGGTTGGTGTTTGCAAGAGAATGAACAAGCCTCCCAGGAAGAATCTTTTTCAAGTTCCACTTAAGAGAAAGCTGTGGAGTGATGGGAAGGGTTTCACAGCTTGTTTGGGACTTCAGCAAAGCCCTCTCTAACCAGCAACCTCATGCTTCAGGTTCAGGAGGAAAGGTCAGGCAGAGCTTTGCAGGGATCACTTTGGCACCTTAGGCGTGTGCTTCTAACAGAAGCATCTATTCTGCCTCAGAAATTATGTAAATTTTTTTGCACAGTAACACAGACTCACTCTGAGAGAAAGAAGCTGAGCCAAGGGAGTGAGGGCTTATGTCAGGAGGTCAGTAGCAGGCAGAACAGATGCATAATTTCATTCTGGACGATCACCTCCCTGTATGAGCAGCCTCTGATATCCCTCCCACCAAATATTGGTGGCAGACTGCCTTTCTGGAAAGTGAGCCTACTGCATAAAGAAGTGATTTATCTTCTTCTTTTAGGAGATGTTTTTACTGGAAGGGCCAAATATACTCTTTGCTCTTCAAGGTTTTCCAAGCACTGTGACGGAACATTTCTAAACACACTCCAGCAAAGCCCACCAACACACTTGCTGCTTGGCTGGGAGCACACAGAAGGGTGGATATGCTCAGCTTCATGGGCCATGGGCCCCTTCAAGGCCCCTTCAAGGCAGCCTGACCCCTGTGGCACCACGGGCACCTTCATCCAACAGGAACGAGGCTCAGCCAGGGTGCAGCTAAGCAGTAAATGTTTTTTGACAGGGAACAGCAGTGTGAAGTTCAGTCTTCTGTGATGCACTGAAGTCATCCGAAGTTATGATCTACAGCATCTCCCCACCCACCGACTTGCTACTCCTGGGAGCAGACCACCCAATGTCTTTCTCAGTGTAACACAGACTCCTGTGATGTGCTGTCCTAACCTGCTATGGAGCAGAGAGCTTTCCAGCCCGCTACCTTTGCCATTGTCAGAGACTGGCTATGGTTAAAGGCTATGCAGATAGGTTTCTTTTATTATTGCTGGAGGTAAACTCAAAATTTCTGAAGCGGAATTGTGCTGGCAAGGTGCTCAGTATGAAGAAGGCAGCAAGCAGTGCACGCACAACAGTAGGTGACTCTTTGCCATCATCTGGCTTTCAGGATCTGTCCTTCTCCCAGCCGTTGAATGTTCAGGAGGACAAAATCTGCCCAGGACACGAACTTAACACCACAAAGATGTCAGTGATGCAGCAATCCAGTATTGAATAAACAGGGAGGTGCAGGAGGAAGTAGACAGAAGGTAGTTCCAAAATCCAAGTGCTCGTAGCAGGCAGATCACAGCCTGTGTCCATCCCTGCTGTCAGGCACAGGGCTCCGTGATGTGACGGGTGATACAGTCACTCTCACATTGTCTGCCCATGCTCTCTGGTGTTGGAAAAACAAAAAACAAAAAACAAAAAACAAAACCCCCCAAAATCACTTCAAGCTGTGTAAATGCCTTAAAAGGAAGAAAACAGAATAAGCAGTTTGTGCTCTGTCAGTTTGCAGATGAACATTTTCCCTCCAGTGCCATACCTGGAGAAAACGTGCTGTGCATTGTATCCCCAGCAGGGCTCCGGCAGCACAGAAACACTCCTACAGCATTTGTGGAGGAGATGTGAATGTGTGAATTAGTCTCTTTTCGTGTTAATGGATTTATTCACTTCTCTGGGCCAGCATTTCTATTTCCAGGTAAAAAAGAGCTCTCCAGCCCTGCATCTCACAACTGGAATTGAACCCAGCAACTGACCAGGGCCTAAGCAGGAGCAGAGGAGCTGCAGGCTTCCACAGTCCCCTTTCAGCTACACTCACCTACTCTGTGTCCACTGATTATCCACAAAAAAGAGGGGAGATGCTGTATTGCCAGGCACTGAAAAAAGGCTTTCAGCTGCTGTGGAGGGGGCCCATGTTAGCAGCAGAACGGCCTTGAGCTTGTGCCAGGGTCTGGCCTAGTTCAGCCTAGTTCTGTGACAAATGCACCACGGATGCCATGGTTCTAGGCTGTTTCAGTTCTCCAAATATTTAATGTCAGAGGGATTATAACAGACTATCTATAGACTTCCTTGCACTTCACAGCTTTTCTCCTACATTTTCCATCAAAAGTAAGCTGCTGCTTTGCTTGCTGCTATGCAAAATCAGGCTTTTTGTAGAAGAGCGGAAGGTGCTGGAATACAGATCAAAAATTATAAGTCCATGACAGCTTGCCCTGATTCAACACCCAAACTCAACGGGGTGCAAAAGCCATACTAACCCCACAGCTGTAACACAGTGTTCTGCAAATTTCAAGGCTTTTTGCCCATTGTATGGAGGAGCTTGTTTCTGAAAACTGTACTGGGGGGGTATCAGAGGCACTGATGAGCTTTAGTGGGCACGGGTGATGGGCTGGGGTTGGACTAGCTGATCAGAGTTTTCCAACCTTAACGATTCTCTAATTCTGCAATATGCTGCTATGTCACAGCAACAAGCTTTCCCACAGACACATATACACTGCTCTAGATCTGCGAGGAAGGAATAAGAAAGCCTTTATGAGCAGGCCAGAAATCCAATCTTGAGCTTTATGGGATTCTGACCACCTTGTCAGCAGCACCCTTGAGTGTCAGTGAAGAAAAATAAGGTGGACCTCACTTATCTTAATAGAAAACAGACCAAATCTAATAACCTACTTTAAAAAGTAGCTTTATTTAAATTTCTGTTTTAAATAGATGCATACAAAATAGCTTAATAGAGCTCAATTATTACACCACTCATATTCAAATACAATCTTTAAACCTGACAATTAAAGTTCGAGTGGCAAAGTTTTACCAAAAGGTCATTTTCCATCCTATCTCCTACTCCTTATCCCTATGTTTGATATCAAAACAGGAAGATTAAAGTGTATCTCATGATCTACATTCCTTTTTTTCCCCCTCCTTTCAGCAACAAACAGTAGTGGTAGTGTTAAACAAGGTTATAATATCCTGTTATATTAAAAGCATCACCATTATCTGAACATCTGAAATGATTACATTTTTGTCACAGCACCAACTGAGCTATTTCTTGGATTAGTTTTCAGGTTCCAGATGAGTTCCCATTCTCCCAGATACACACAAGCTCATTTACAGAAACAAAGAGCAGCCTGGATGGATGACTGACTCACCAGACCTACTGGCCATTCATCACAGCATGATGCTTCCACAGAAGACATGCCCTGTTTCTTCTTCCCAGCATAAACTGTTGTGTCATTGATACTGACAGTAGTTTCTCAAAGATGCCTACAAGGGTTGGGTTTCAACACTGAAGCCCTTTGAAAATTCAAGTTGCATTTACATACACAGATGCTTTGCTGTGCCTGATCTTGGTGTTCTGTTTGGTCTGTTTGAGTGCATTTTATGCAAGAGCACTGTAGCAGAAACCAAAAACTTTCCCAATATTGGAATTTATATTATATATCATACATATTTATGCCCTTCTTCACAATCAGTAACAATCAAGATCTTCAGCTGGTGACTTCTGTTGAAAGCTCTCAAGCTACAGCTGCTTCCACAATCATACAACCCAGGGCTTCAGTCTGCTTTTCTCTGGAGGAGAGCACTGACCTGCAGACAGGTAGACAGAAATTCCTTGGCTTTTTTTAAATTAAGCCTCACCAATAAGAAAAAGTAGATTAAATCAAATTCTTATGTTGAGGCTGAAATAAAAATGTCAGTTATCACCCACTTTCCTTCTGAATTGTGTTGCAATTTAACATCTTTAATTTTAAATTTATTATTGCCTCACTTGCTATTTTTCCTCTACGAGACAGATCTTCATAAAATAATTAACTGTACCTCTGAGAAAAGAATTGCTATAAATGGTTAGGTCTGATGGAGGGAGGAGAACAGTCTCCAAAAAGTCCAGATTGTGCTGATAAACATGCCAAGAAAAAGTAGGATCATCAGACAACATCATGTCCAGCCATCAGGATTTATTTCCTCCTTTCCTGAGAAAAACAAACGAGTGTATGATCTGATCTTGGAACGCTGCCTCCAACTGCTTCAAAATCTATTCAGATCTCAAGGTATGGGGACAAAGTAAATGTTTCTTTAATTGTGTACGATGCAGGGCCTAATCAAACATGGCTCTGGCTGCAATCCTTGCCATAACACACTCACCCAATGCCATAAGGCATTGTGCATTTCTCCCAGTGTTACAAGAAGAATCTGACAGTCTGCATCAAGGAGATGCATCGTTTAGGAAAGACTTCTGTGCCCAGACCAGGAGGGCGTAATACATGTCTTGGTTTGTCCTGGGTGTAGAGCATAGAGCAGTATTATTTCTAGTGCTTCTGTTTATGTAGCTGATGGTAACAGAGAACCATGATGAACAAACCTGGAAACCGGTGCTGGAGGTGACTGCAGGGAAACATGCAGAAGCACTCCATGCTCTGAAGAGTGGATGGTGTCGTCCAAAGCAACCAAACGAAAGCAGCCCCAGCTGCCTCCCATGGCACACTTACACAGGGACAAAGATAAAAGCTTACCTCTTGATCTTCAAATGCAAACGGCTTTCCTGGAAGGAAGAGACAGCAGGGGAGAGCCAGAGGACTCCCACAAGAAGGCGTGCTGTGACAATGTGCAGTGAGGCATCCAATAAAGCATTACAATACATTAAACAACACGATTATTCCCAACATCGCTTCCTGCCAATAGGTGAAGCTGGCATTGACTGGATAGATTAAAACCAAACTGACAGATGAACAGGTTTCTGATGCACTATTGTAGACTTTAAAAGGCACAGAGATGCAATGAAAAGCCAGAGCCAAGTAACCTGCTAATTTCCCCTGACTCTTAAGTACACGAAGTATCTCCACGAACATAAACTGCTGTCAGGTAGTCACAGTGGAACAGCATGATTGAGTATTTCTAGGGGCCTTCCTTGACATGGACCCAGATGTTAATCAAAGAGGTTGGGTAAAGAGTAGATGAGCTGTTTAACCTGAAGAACTAAACCTCCTGGTGTACAGACAGCGTCCAGCTATGCCAGCTAGACTGCAAGTACTTGACAGCAAATGGTTTACAGCCTACCTCTGCCAGGGGAACAATTTAAGTATTAGCAGCACGGTTTTTTTTCTGCAATGCTTCCCATTCCCAGACTTCTTTGTAAAGTCTGCAAACAGAGATGCCAATATACCCCATTCTGACCTACATAGAAAACAATTGGACCTGTGTTCCTGCTGTGTTATCAGAGAAATGAATCATTCTCATGTCTCCTCAATGTCCTGGCAAGACAGGGAATTTTCTGCTGGGAAGTGTTAGTTGAATCCTGCACCTACTGCTATCGTGACACCAACTGCATATTTTCTGTTTATCACAGAGAAGAAAAACACCCAGCAGGAAAAGGCTCAGCTTTAAATTCTTCTTTCTGCCAGTACAAACATGGGAGCAAGTGAAGCACAACTTTGAAAGCTCCAGCTTACTGAACTCCAGAAGAAAAAAAGTAATAATAAAGTTCATCAATCTTTTTAGAAAAACAGAATAAAGATTCTAGAGAAAAACATTCACCACACCCCATACATTTACATAATTTGTGCAAATAAGAGGAGTGGCAGTGGCCACACTATAACATCATCTGCTGCTATCTCTGCATCTGAGAAAAATGTCAGGGTTGTGTCCTGCTGTTATTGGAGTCAGGAGGAAAAAACTTGCTGGGAATGGGGAATAGGGAGGACAGTTTGCCTTCTCAGGCTTAAGGATCACATAAAACAAACAGATGACTTCAGAAGCCCCTGGGTCAGCTTGGCAGTGAGAGGTCCCCACTGAATCAGGAAGATTAACTTCAGAAGAAGGCATCCATTCCTACTGGGAGCAAGCAGCTGGCAGCCCTGAGTATTTATAGACTTCTGCAGCAATAGTTGGTAGGTCTGGAAAAGTCTAGGAGATTCTGACTAGGTGTCTCTGAATGAAGTCTGCATTAACCTATGTGATTTGAAGCTTCTCTCTTATCAGCATTTGGAGCATAAAATCATATCACTTATGCCTAACTGCCACATACTTGTAACCCTATACTTGTGGGATAAAACTAAATCAAGACAAACAGAGATGTCTGTATTCTCCCTATATAATTTATAAGGATAAATGCAAGTTTTTTGCCAGGGCAGAGGTCAGAAACTCTAGATAGTCTGCTCGACAATAACAATTCTCTCACCATTAAGAGATATCATTCAGAGTTTGTCAGACATCCAAAAAAATATTTCTGCTTTCTCCATCAGAAACCATGCTTTATGAGTGACATAGCCTTCACATATCACCATGTACTTGGAGAAAATATTAACCATAAAGTGATCTTGGAATGCAAGAAATGCTCCATCTCTAATGACAACTCAATAGAGATCACTTTGACCTTTGTTTTGTTTGGAAGATCCTGAAAGATAAACACCTTTGTTGTGGGAATTTAAGCTGGCCAACACGTAGCTCAGCTTTCTTAGCATTGTTTTCTCGCTTTTCGTTTTTGCAAGTTCTTTAGATGTAGTTTTCTAGACCATCAGGGGTTCTGAGATCAACAGTTAAAAGCATTGCTTTGGGAAATGCATTCTCATTTCAGTATGCAACAAAAACTGCCTACATCTCAGGAAGGAAAGCACCAGATAGTTTACTTTATCGTACTGAAGACTCCAACACCACAAGAGAACAGCAACTTACTGAACAAACACAGAGATCGTCTTACTGTGTTATCTCCTAGAGGAAATATAAAATTAATTGCTGCAAAACACTTTAGAGATTGAGAATATTGTCTACTCTAAAGAGAGGACCTAAAAGCAAATACTCTGTGTGGGAGAAGGGTGAAAGTCTGGTCCTATCTGTAAGCACTGGTTTTTTAGGGTAATTCAGAAAGGTAATATTCCAAGTTCCTAAGCCAACTGCAAGGCAAAGCCTCTTAAAGATGGACTTCATTGCAGAGCTAGAGTAGCTAAGGTCTTTAGTGTCTCCACCAAAGAGATTATGGTCGTTTCAAATGAGATCTTCCTTTCCAAGCTCCTGTATCAAGCAATTAGAGCAAACACGCTTTTGTTGTGTGTCTAGAGATAATTTTCAAAATAAAGAGGCACAAATCACCTAAAGATGTACAAAGCCATTCTCTATACTGTATTTCCAGAGTCACTAAATCCCTGAATCCCATTTCAGGTTGGAGTCACTGATGTTTCTTTTTTGCTTACTGCATAAATACTCACAGTTGCATATATTTAATTTGTGATTACCCTTTCAGTATGCTCTCTCAAATCCCATCCTTTTATAAAAGCACTGCATCACTGGGAGGACTACAGAAAATTAATGGAGGAATTTTTTCAAGGGGACAAAGCATTTTACTTTTTATTGACAGTTTGTTGTACATATTTCTTTCCACTATGTCATTATTTTTGATGAATAATAGGATAGTAATTACCATTTATGTGTGAGACCTATATGAACTCTTCTGGTTCTTTCTTTCACCCTAAAAATCGCCAGTGATAGCTCCTAGAAAAAGACTTCAGAAAATCTAAGTTTAGATGTAAATATATGGAAAGTATTTAAATAATAGTGCTTTTCCATCTAACAATCCAATGTCTAATGTAAAGTCCTCTCCGCAGGAACAGCAGTTCCTGCAGTTTTGCTTCTGTCCAACATAAGAAAAAGAGATACAGAATTACAGGAATTGTTCCACCCTACAGAGTGAGCAACACGAGTGGGAGCCGATGCCTTTGTGATTTGTTGTGCGCTGGCTTCCCCCGTCGGGCTGTGATGATAATACCTACAAGACATATTCTGGGAGTTGATCCATGCAAGATTCCAATATAGGGCTGCACTGTTTACATTTACTACAAATTTGTATGCACAAGAGAGCTCAGCATGGGAACAAAAACCCATCTCTGAAGGCTTTCTGTAAAACAAATTGAACATAATGTTCCCCATAATAACAGTAAAAAACAGAAATCTTTTTCAAAGGGTCGAGTGCCTCAAAGAGCTCGCACCAAATTTCTGTTTTCTAATACTACAGCCAGTGTCAGACAAATGTCTTAGATGAACAAAATTCTTGAAAACATTCGAAGAATTGGTGAGGCCCACCAAGCCTGGTTAATTGATCTCTCTGCAGGCCACAGAAAAGGCAGTGTGAAATGTCAGTCCACGCAGGAGATCAGGCTGCACAAAGTTGCAGTGCAATGGGAGTGCAATGCTCTAAACACTACCCCACTTTCCTTGAACACAGCTTTATTCACTGCTGGTCCCCAAAACATTATGGGCCAAATGAAAAACTACTGTTTAATGATCAAATTAATGTTTAATGATGGGATGACTGGCTAGAGAGGAGCTCTGGAGAAGGATCTGGACGTTCTCGTGGACAACAGGTTGGACATGAGCCAGCAGTTTGCCCTTGTGGGACCTGGGGTTCATTAACAAGAGCAGGGGCAGCAGGTCGAGGGAGCTGATCCTGCCCCCTTACTCTGTCCAGGCAAGGCCACATTTGGACTACTGTGTCCAGTTCTGGGCTCCCCAGTTCAAAAAAGACAGGGATCTCCTAGGAGGAGTCCAGCATAGGACCACAAAGACGATAAATGTCTTAGAGCATCGCTCGTATAGAAAGGCTGAATAACCCACATCTGTTCAGCTTAGGTAAAAGAAGACTGAAAGGGGATCTGATAAATGTTTATAAATAACTAAAGGGAGGTGGGAGGCAAATGGATGAGGCCAGGTTCTCCTTGATAGTGTATAGCACAAGGAGTAATGGCCTAAAACTTGAACATAGGAAGTTACATACAAACATGCAGAAGAACTTTAAGGGTGATGGAGCATTGGAACAGTGAAAATAGAATGGACAGTAAAAAAAGAAGTAGGAGGGAAGAGTATTCATGATCATGATAGTACTGGAGAGATCCCACAAGGAATTAGTGAAGAGAAAGGCATTCATGCACCTGCTGTGATCTCCTCCTGCAGAACAAACTTGACAGAGAACTGTACTCCCACAGTGATACCAAATGATTTCAGATTTGAAGTGGTTAAAAATCCACTTGTAATTAAGGATTTCATAGTGGCATCAAACAAGCTGCCTGTTAGTTGTAGAGAACTAGGCACCATCTATTCACAGAATCACACAGAACCACAGAATTGTAGGGGTTGGAAGGGATCTCTGGAGATCATCTAGTCCTCAGTTCACATCGGAGTGGCAAAGAAGGCAACTTCAGCAGCATGTGAGTTTACCTCCAGGCCCAGGTTAGCCTTGTGTGAATCTTAATCCTTGTTTTCAAGGAGCCTTGAATTATCCACAGTGTCTGGAAGACCTCTGTACTAGAAGAGAGTCTTGGAGGTAATTCAGTGATAAGCAAGATAGAGTCTTTGGAACACAGTTTTCCAGTGAACAAGCTGATTTCACTTAAAAAAACTTCCTGATTGTTGATTCATCAGATCTCAAATGCAGCTCAGGCTAGAAATCCTGAACTTGCTTCAGCTGAACTCGGCACAGACCTGTAATTAGTTTGTTGGCAAAATTATTGAAATATTCTTTGCCTATCTTTCCTGCTCCAAAGGTACATACCTGAACCAGTGTCTCCATATGGTGCTGTGCAGCCCTGCAGATGCCACAGTACAGGCGAAGCTAGCTCAGAAGTGTGCAATATGCTGCTTTTCTGTCATGGCAACCTTGTGTTTACAGCCTCTGGTTTTCCTCCAGATTCTTTTAAAAATTAATGTTTAGGCTGTATTTGAATGTCCTAATCGGGCTCATATGAGTGGCTGTAACTCGGCCAAGCTGGTGAGAGCAGCTTTCAGCTGTGAGCAGTAAAGAGAGGGCTACTGTAAGCACCAGTTAAGTGAGGCAGTGATTGAAAGTAAGGATGCAGGCTGATGGGAACAAGAGAGATTTCAAGAATATCAAAAAGATGAAAGCTGCCTCAAATGTGTGGATGCAAAGGTGTGCAGCCCTGGGGAACAAGTGGGAGGAATTCATGCTGTTGGTACAGCAACACAGGAACAGCAAGATGATGGTGATGGATGGACACGCTCCTCAGGAGGGAAGGGGGGAAGACCTGGGGATGAAGAGGATTGCCCTTTTTGTGAAGGAGTGGCTTGGGCATTTGGGTTGGACAACAGTCTGCCTAAGAGCATGGCTCTCAGGCTGAGAAAAGATGGTAGGAGTGACAGGATGGAGAAAATGTATTACAGTCCTGCTGAGCAGGGTGCTAAGGGAAGTCCAACAGTGGAACAGGTTGTCTGGGAAGGTTGTACAGTCCTCGCCCACAGAAATTTTCAAGACCTGGCTAGATATGGGCCTGAGCAACTTGGTTGGAGCTCACAGCTAATCCTACCAGAGCAGGAGGCTGAATAGGTGCAAAGGTCCCTTCCAACCTGATTTATCCCAGGATCTGAAGTCCAAAGGACAAAACCACAACTGAGGCAGACGAAAAGCACCACCTAAGAAGACCCAACATTGTGACTATGTCTCAGCCAAGAGCATTATGGACAGGTCCTCACACAGCCAAAGGCTGAAGATCACAGCTTTGGAGTCCCATGAAGCCCCAGAGGAATAGTGGAATAGTAGCAATTGCAGCAGAACCCACTCCCGAAACTCTCGTGAGCATCAAAATGTACAGAAAAGGAAAAAAAAAAAACAAAACAAACAACAAGAAAAAAAGCAAACCTGGCAACAAGTGTGAACTTGAAGTTAATGTCCCAGAGAGCATTTTTTCAGGGCAAGGAACTTTGAAATGTTTCCAATTTCTCTCACCAATTAAGAGTCAGGGAATGTAAGATTGCACTAAAAAGTACTCCCAGAGAGGGGAAGGGGCAGAGGGTCAAAAATGTGCTTAATTTACTTATATTCCTTACTCTACATTGCTGGGGAGGACACATGTATCAGCAACAAGTTTGAGAACTAAAACTTACTGCCTCACTCTTGCTGAGACATTGTTTAGAGCCCATGAACTTTTAAGTACAGACCATCTCCACTCTTCTTGACAAACATCCAACCCTTGTTTTTACTGACAGAACCATATTGATGGCTTCTAAACATATCAGTGCAATAAGGCTGCTGCCTTCAGGAAATTATAATCACATCATCCTCTTGATTTGCTACATACACCCCCTCAAGGCAGGGATCCTCTTCTCACAGGTGGTTTCACTGCTTTTCCCTTGACTGCAAGCTGTGTCTGGCAGAAGCTGATCGGCTGCCCTCCACACCCTGCCCTCAGCTTCTTCCAAGGAAGCTGACTGGCTGATTCATATTGCCAAAGAGAACTTTTCCTGCAGGCTTTGCTCAGCAGCTGGCCTCCAGCGCCCTGAACCTGCAGGTACCTGAAACAAGCACCTGTGCACTTTCATTGCTGCAGCAATGCTTTGGACTTCTAGCTTTTCTATTCAGAAGTCGGACTGTAGCCAGGACAATTGTTCAGAACTATTCCCAGAAGAGACAGACAGTCTAAACAGAAACGTGATGCTGAAAAGCTCTGCATATATAGCAACCACGTTTTGCCTTGCCTTTTAAGGAATTCTAAGCAGCTTGAATGCCAATGTACATTTACAAATAAACCATTTTGACCCAAAGTCGTGTTTCAGAGTCATTCAACTGTATAAACAAAATACAAAGTTTATTGGTGTTTGACTACAAGCATCTTATGTCTAAGTGTCAAAATTGTTATAGTCTTTCTATGTGACATCAAACCAGTGTGAATATACTGCAAGTAGGTATAAGCTGTAACAGAGGGCTGTATGCTTCTGTTTCTGTTATGCCATTCTCTTAGTATTGTACTGCAATAGAATTCAGTTGGAAAAGACCTACAAAGACCACAGTATTCAGCTATCTGACCACATCAGGGCTAACCCAATGTTAGAGCATATTGAAGGTATTATCCATGTGTCTCTTCAACAGAGACAAGCACAGGGCATCAACCACCTTGCTAAGGAAAGGAAGGCTGTTCCAGTGTTTGACCATGCTCAGGGTAATGGAATTTTCCTAATGCCATTGGTTCCCAGAAGCGCAGCCCAGCACCTCCCTCTTCTTCCCCTCCTTAGAGAGCTGCAGAGAGCACTGAGGTCACCTCCTGGCCTCCTGTTTTCTCAACTCCTGTTGAGAAAAGTGGCCTCAGCCCCTCCTCACAGGACATCCCTTCCAGCCCTGTCACCTTTGGTGCCTTCCTCTCAAAGCACCTCAATGTAGTTTTAACATCATACAGCCCAGAACTGCACTCAGTATTTCAGGTGAGGCTTCACCAACACTAAATAGTGAGAGTTACCTCCTTTGGCTGGCTATGCTGTGCGCAATGAATCCCCAAAATACATTTACTCCCTTGACTACCAGGGGGCGCTGCTGGCTCACGCTGAGCCCGCTGTCACAGCAGCCCCAGGCCCCTCCTGCTGAGCCGCTCTCCAGCCACCCATCTCCTCGTGTACCCGAGTCCAGCACTGCTCTGTACCAGCTGCAGAATCCAGCATTTTGCTTTGTAGAACATCACGCTGCTGATGGTTGGTTGCCCAGTGCTCGGTTACAATGTGCCTGCTTCAGGCCTCATCCCTCCAGAGAGCCAGCAGCACCTTCCAGTTCAGCATTCTCAGTACATTTGCTGTTGATACACCCACTCCCCAGATATGTAAGACCTTCAGTAAATTCTTGAGAGGTCCTTTGCTCTGGAGTGAACCCTGTCATGTCCTACAAACTACGAGCACTGTGCTGATGCACCTATTCTCTTACACTTATGGTGACCACAGATCATGCTCCCATAGTCACGAATTGTGTCCCTCCAACTCACAGGACCAGCAACCCAAGAACTATCATTAATATTAAAAGCCAGGGCGAAAAGTGCATTAGATGTCTCTGCTTTTTCCTCATTCCAGTTTGTTAGGTAACGATCTTCATCAAGTATCAGCCCAACAGTTTTCCTTAGATCTCCTCTTGCTGTTGAGACACTTAAAAAAATCCTTTTTTGCTGACACAATGGCCAGTGTCAACTCAAGCTGAGCTCTGGCTTTTCTTATTTTCTCTCTACAACTGTGAACTGTAGCTCTTTTAATCTCCCTGACCTTGCTTCCAGAGATCATAGGTTATTTTTCTGCCCATGTCCCAAAAGGAGCTCCCTGTTCAGCAAAGCTGATATTCTCTTCTATTTGCTTGACACAATGGGATTGCTTGCTCCCATGTTTTTAAAAGGTGGTTCTTAAGAAGTGAGCAGCTCTCACAGAGCTCCTGAACTCTCTAAAGCAGATTGCCAGGGGATGCTGCTGACTAGCTCTCTGAGCAGCTTAAACTTTGCTCTCTTAAGATCCAGGGTGGTAACTCTGCTGACCTCTTTTGAACTCAGCTATTTAATGATCGCTGCGGCTCAGACAGCCACCTACCATCACACCTCCCACAAGACTTTCCTTATGCTCAAGACAGTTCTAGAAGGGCAGCTTTCCTAGCTGGCTAAGCACTTGTGACAAGAAGTTATCTTCAGCGTCCTTTAGGAATTTCACAGACTTACCTGTCGCAGTACTCATATATTCCCAGTTTATATCTGGGAAGTTTAAGTCTCCCAAAAGGATGAGTTACCAATCCAGAGATTTATCTTAATTGCTTGTGGAACACAACACCTCACCTCTGTCGCTATGGATGGATGACTGATAGCAGAAACCAACAACCAAATCTGTTTGCTATCCTTCCCCTTAATCCTTGCCAGAGACTCTCTACCACACTGTCTCTATGTGGGGATCTGTTACCTGTTCTATTCAACAGGGAAAGAGACAACTCACAAGTACTGAAGTGTCACCTAATCTTCAAATGCTTCAAAAAGCTTTCAAGTCTACTCCTTAGGAAACAGAAGAAAACATATCTTGGTTCTATAAAGTTTAAGTTAGCAACAGACTGCTTACCGCATCCGTAAGCTTGCTATGAAAATATTTGTATTAGCACCAATAATAAGTTACAGTAAACTTCATCCAGCCTCCAAAAAAGGTCATAGCTTATACACTAGCACAGAGATTTTAAGTAGAAAGCTAAGTTTGAATTTCAAGGCTCAGGAAAGTTAATAGAAGAATTAATTCCTGTGACTAAGATAATAAATCTGTAAGTCATTCTTTGATAGAACATCTAGCAGTGTGAAATGGACACATATGAATATTATTTTAAAACTCAAATAAATTAATGTAGCATTGATCTGTCCCTCAAAGTCTGTTTAGACTGTTAACTGCTGAACTCCTTATCGAGCAGTGTTTTTACAGATACTCTGGAATTACACATTACTTCCTTTATGATCTCTAATAAATATATCTCAGGGAAAAGAGACACGATAACACCAGTTCTGACAAACAAAAAGAAAAGCCCACAACAAAGCATATACCAGAACAGCATTAAAGAATCTAGAAATACTGAAAATGAAAGTTATCATAAACATGAATATTGCATCCGTAGGACAATCTCTCATTTACAGTAATTCTTGTACAGTACTTCTTTAAGAGTCAAAATAACAATCTGTGTAATTGTTCTTATCATGCTTGCCATTTAGTTTTAATGCATCGGTGGCACAAACTGGACAGGCAGAATAATCACAAATCTACCTGAAAATCTGTACTTTGTGTGCTCTCTTTCCATTTCTCTTTCTGTCTTCATTCCTTCCAGCCCCCTCTATACTCCCCTAAAAACACTCTCTTATGGTATAAGCACAAAGAACTCAATGCTTTCTTCAAGGCAGTGAGAAAAGTTGACTCTTGCTGGCCTAGCTGATCTGAAACATGGACAGTCAGCACTCCACTGAATATCTGAAAAGTAAGACAGGACTGTGGGCTCAAGTATGTTACAGGATTTCCTGTGAAATCCCCAAAAGGACAAAAAGAGAAGCAGAGATAGCAAGAGGAAGGTTTTGGTGCTGTCCAGTAGGCAGCAACTTTCAGGAGAGTTGATAAGGCCAGAAGGGCACCAAAAGAAGTCCCCTACTGGAACATGAAGTACAAGCTTAAATTGAAGGCAAAATCAGAAACATGAGCTGATGAGTCGGAACAAGCACTATCTGCATAAAAATAATAAAGATTTGGTTGAAGAAGTTTGAGAACAGGTGGTAAACACAAGCACACCCACTTTTCCAACACAAAACAGGTGCTCTATCCTTGGAGAGCAATAACCTACGAAACTGTAAACCCTGTTATCTAATTCCATCCTCTTTATTTTTGTCTTAGCTCTAGCCCCATGAATTGAAAATAATTACAAAAATAGACACATGCACTTTACTTTTACTGGTTTCCTGCATGTGACTGCAGCAGAAGCAGTGGTTCAAAATTCATCTTAAGATGTACTTTCACTGAAAGGGGGTTACTTCTTGAGCTTTTACTTAACCAAAAAGAACTGAAACAGTTCCCAGTGGCTTTTTCCCATGCTCCTCTTTTCGTTCGTTTTTTTTTCTTTTTTGAAGAGTGACCAAAGTCTACTTCCAAAATGTACCTGTAAAATTTGCATTTTAATGCTCTTCATTCACAAAACACAAGGAAAAGTGAAGAGTAAAGGAGGAGATGATGTACAGAAAGTAGACCTGTAAAAAAAACATCACGATGACAATCAGAGGTCACCCAACTCTCCATTTCACCACAAAAGAAATATTAAAAGCAATATTCTTCAAACTGTGCCACATTCAATTCCTAAAACAGAACAGCAGTTACTGTGTTTTCTGTGCTGAAAGTCACTTTCCCACTGCTTTCTGTACGTTGTTTGCATCACTTAACTTTAAAGAGTCCAAGAGGCTTTTGATTGTTTCACTTCCCATTCCCTTTGTCCTACTCTTCATGGTGTTTGGATTGCTTTTTCCAAATGGTATCAGTACAGCTGCCAGTCCCCAGGGTTCCTTATTGATCATCTGCTGAGTTTTATCTTCCTTCTGTAAAATCCAGGCACTTTCTCTGGCCACAGCAACAAATTTCTCCAGCTGTGGCTGATTAACATTCTTGCTGATATTAAGGTCTTGTTCAAAAGGATTCCAGATATAAAGAGGAGACGACTCAGGTTTATTTACTTCCTTTCCCTGCAGATAGTGTGAAGAAAAAGTTGCACATATGCATCATACGCTGAGCAAGGAACAAATCACTCAAGTGACTACATTGAGAGTTTTCTGACCCAGAAGACCACTTTCTGGGGAAAAAAATAGGCATCATTAATCAAGTTAATTTTCCTGCCAATCTGAGTGTAGGACTCCTGTTCTCTAAATCCTCTTTGTGGTTGCTTTCCTTGCCACACTGAACTTAGATTTCCTTCAAGGCAAAGAATGTACTACAACAACTCACCCTGTCTTTTTGGCCGTTCTCCCACTTGCTTTTCCACAAACCTCAAACTCCACTTGCTGCAATCTACTCCTATCTCTGTTTGTGTAGGGCAGCATGAGTATCAAGTTAACATGCACAGCCTAGTCTGATAAATGACTTCATGAGCTTCACCTGTTCAAATCATTTCTCTCACAGTGCTCACTAAGAGCTGGTACAATAAAGCAAGATTACTGCCCTGGCTGAAATTCTCCCCAGTTCAGTTTATCATTTAAGTACAGAGCTATTTAGACCATGGTCCACTTTTATGCAGTTAGTATGGTAAAATACAAGTTATTGTCAACTATGTAGTTTGCTAGTTATACACACTTCCATCACACTGCTTATCAGCACTCCTCAGGTGACTTGCTCTGCATTACAGCATCTCTACAAGCCTTCCACTGCATGCCCTAGCAGGAACCTAGCAGCTAATGCTAGTCCAGAAGTGTTCACATGCATGCTGCATACCCTTGCTCCAGGGCTAGGACAACTAGTTAAACAGAAGAACATCCACAACGTAGACATTTCCCTTGTCCAGTTCAGGATCAGCACAAGGAGGTTTGTTATGGTGTTGTTTTGGGTTTTTTTTATTATTTTTTTTTTTTAATTATTTTTTAACTTGCCTTTTAAGGCGTAGTGGCAAACAACAGTTATCCAGCTTACTTAGTTTCCAGATTGATCTATATCAGAAAAACAAACAACTTTTATGCCAGAAACTGTTAGTGCTAAAGTAGGAAATGAAACACAACCAAGAGTGACCACACAGCAACAAAGCAACGAAAGCCCTCAGTCTGCAAGAAGCCCAGCAGGAACAGGTATTAGTAGTTACTGTATTTGCATATATGTCTCTATTATGCCTTCATATACATACACACACAGAAATCCCCAAAGAGCATGACTTAATTATATAAAGAAAACAAGATTACAGTGCAGACCTCTTGGTAAGCATACAATCATGTTATCTGTCATGCTCACTGAATTGTAACTAGGCTAACTGAAGGTTGATGGTAACTGCAGCAAGAAACAGAAGTGTAAAAAGCAAGTTTCAAAACTCAGTTTAAATTTTAATGTGGACACTGTTTGGATTTGTACTCACAGCTTGAAATGCAAAGTTTTTAAGTGTGCTATGTTTGTCACTGACTTTTGCTATGACAAATATTGTGACATTTTAAAAGTTCCTGCTTTTTAAAACAGTCACTTTTTATATAGGGTGGTCACAAAAGAATCATAAAGACTTAGCATCATTTCTGCTTTCCAACATATGCAAGTACTGACACAGCACTGTTAAGAATGTTACCATAAGCAATCAGGGTTTGAGGAGAAAGCTCTTCCTTCAAGCAGAGGACTCAGTTTCTGGAAACAACCAATTTGAATGCACACTGCATACATACTTAAAAATGAAAGCAGTCGTTTAACACGGGCAGTTTCTCAAACTGAAGACATCAGAAGTTTAATTGATAACGATGAGAAATTAAAATTCATTTACCTTTCGAAGATTTATGGAATTCTTTCTGAAGTCGAAGTTTCCAAAGTATTGAAAAAAGTCACACAGCAACTCATCTGAGGGAGAGAAAGCAAACCAGCATTGAGCATTACGGAGATGTTTATTGTCAGCACGCTCAGAAAAAGCAAAGGTGATGAAGATTTACCTACCAAGCGTTTCCGTGTTTTTTGTGGGCTTAACCTTGCTGAAGTCGCTCACAAATGAGCAATCATACCCTCCAATTACATGTTTGTCTTTTTCATCTGAAACAAAAATTGCAAGGGTATTTTGAACAGATAAAAAGTAAAATGCCATTGTACATAACAAAATTCAGATATAAGACACGACTGATTTCAATGAACGTATCGTATTAAGTAATGCAAATTACAAACTCATAACAAACTTTAAGGCTAAGATTCAAATTAAATGGTTAAAGATTTAAAAGGAAAAACAAATCTTTGGACAAACTAAGGGAAATTGTATTTTCAAAAACCTACAGGAATAAGGTGTATGACATCTATATATCTCTGAAGTTGAAGCAACAAACATGGTATCTCTGCATACAGAGCTTTATAATACACTAAACCAGTAAAGTTTTCTGAGGTTAATAACTACACAAAGACATCAACAGCTAATCTCAAGCGTCCATCCTCTTTTTCAGAAAAGCTATTAGGAATGTCTTGTAAAAATTTCATAAATAGCTGTTTCGTTATTCTGCGTATACAAGTGCTTCATTTTTGAGAGTCTGTTGGTAACTGCTAATGGAAACATTCAAATAATTTTAAAGCAACAGAAGGCAGACCATCTTCTCAAAGCTTCCAAGGAAGCATGTCAGTAAGCTGTGGAAAAAAGCAAGGAATCAAGAATTTGGGATGTCATTTTCCATGCTTTGTTCAATTAGCTGAAGATAACATGCTCTGAAATTGAAATATTATGACAGTCAGAACAACTTGCTTATTAAGGTAAAAAATTATTTGCAATTGCCCTGAATAGTCTCAAGGACATTACAAAGAGTGTGGGAATACAGGTACACTTGGTGTCTTTAAAACAAAACATAGAATTGTAGAATCACAGAATCACTCAGGTTGGAAAAGACCTTCAAGATCACCAAGTCCAACCGCAACCTATCCGTCCTACCCTAACTCTAACAACCCACCACTAAATCATGTCCCTGAGCACCACATCCAAACAGTTTTTAAACACATCCATGGATGGTGACTCAACCACCTCCTTGGGGAGCCTATTCCAGTGCTTAACAACCCTTTCTGTAAAGAAGTTTTCCTGGTCTCCAACCTGAACTTCCCCTGGCACATATAACAATCTGCACAAAATCCTTAAAACCTGCAGAGACATTTGAAATCTTACGAGTCTGCTGCAAAATAAACAACAAAAAGAAACAGCGTGAGAGCACTGGGAACATAAATGATTTTAAGTTGTCCAAGGCACTCTGAGCAGAATTAAGCACTGTACTGAAAACTGATGTGGTTTGCATTATAGGATAAATTACTTTTACAAAAAGTACATATGAAACTTACACGTTTCCTCAAACATCAGGCACAGGCAATGTATATTGCTACTTGAGAGCACAGAGGAATGGATTGGGTTTATTCCTAACCTTACAAAGTTACAATAATTGTGAGAAATGCCTCAAGCTCTTTCACAAACAGTTGCTCTTACCTGCCAGCTCTTTAAGTTGGTCTAGTGTTGGAATGATAGGTGGCGATCTCTTTTGCAGAAAAAACATGATCATCATGGTTAAAGAGAAGTTTGTAATCCAGGTACCGGGCACACTGTTTGTAAGGCCATGAACACGGGCCCAGCATCGTAAACTGAACACCAGAGCTCTCACACGGGGATCTAAACAGCCGTAAATATACAGGAGTTCTGAACACCTTATAGCAATGCTGAGGAAGAAAAAAGAAGTAAGACGTAAATAATTATGCAATTATTATTATGATGCCAGCGCTGGCTGTTCAGCACAAATTATCAGTTCTAAGGGAAGAGAGCATCAATATAAAAACAAAGAAACAAACAAAAATCCACACATAACTTTTATTCATGAAAAACAAACAAACAAAACAGATGAAAGTGTCTGAAATTGTCCAGGATAATGTATCTGATAACTGCCAATAATAAAAAGGATACAGTTAAACAATAATACTGCACTTGTGCTGTTTCCTGTTTCCTTGTTCCACAGGATAGTGGAAAAGAAAAAAGAACATTATGTATTTGGAGTTAGATCTACACACAGTCGAGGCCAAAACCACATAATTTAGCCATAATTGCCTTTGGACTGTACTAGAGAACATCCCTATCCTAACATAGAGGGGGGAAAAAATCAATACAAAAAATACAAAATAAACTTATCTTACAATCCCACTCTAAAGACTTAACAATTTATTGATTTTCCAACAACTAACGTTTGAAGTTGGATGTCATTCAGTTTGTGACAGCATAAAATGCACTTAATCTTGTTTGAAAATAATTTTGAAGTATTAAAAATGTTATTGGTGTGACTGGAAGAAATTTGAAGTTGTTCAGCAAATTCTTTAAACAAACACAAGCAGACACTGCAGCTGAAAGCAGCAGCTTTGCTCCCAGGTGCTCACTCTTATTTCTGTGTTACCACATCCATTGTGCTGACATGTTGTTCGTAATAACTACCCAAATCCAGGTCCTGCTGCAAAACAACTAATCTGGAAGGACAGAAGTTTTCAGATGGATCAGCTCTGTTTCATCACATGGTTGTACAAACTTTCTTATAGTGTACAAATGGGAGGGCAATATAGAACAGATAATAAATGGAAGGAGAATGTGAGAGCAAGACTTACATTGCAAAACTAGTTTAAAGTGCTTGCTGAACTACCCTGCTCTAATTCCAGTCTTGCACTCAATTCCTCTAAAAATTCACCAAGGCATTTGGGGATGGCTGCTGCATCAAAGCCTTCTAATACCTGCATTTCTAAAGTTTCAATTGTGAGGTTCTCCTTGTGTCCACAAAGATGTCTTATTTCTCCAAGCAACAATACTAACACAGTCCCACAAAACTATCTTTTGCAGAGAATTAAAAAGAAAAAAAAAAAAAAAATCTGCCAGGAAACCTATGCTGACTCTCACTGTGGCTAAATATTAAAAAAATGTTAATGTTGTGACAATACTGAACAAATCTTAGAATCATAGAATCACCAAGGTTGGAAAAGACCTAAAAGATCATCCAGTCCAACCGTTCACCTATTCCCAATAGCTCCTACTAAACCATGTCCCTCAACACAACATCCAGCCTTTCCTTGAACATCCCCAGGGTCAGTGATTCCACCACCTCCCTGGGCAGTCCATTCCAGTGCCTGACCACCCTTGCTGAAAAGTAATACTTCCTCATGTCCAGCCTGAATCTCCCCTGCTGTAGCTTGAAACCATTTCCTCTGATCCTAATATATATATATCGCATATAAATATCACAGAACTCCTGTATACTCTGAAACAGAATGTGGGGTAATTCAGAAAATTCAGTCTGACTGACCTGACTGCATCTGATGTGTGCAAATTACAAAATCTGTAGTAGAAGGTGAGTTGAAAAGAATTTTGAAAGATAATCACTTGTGTTTTACCGTCCCCAACAAACAAAAATGGGGATGTATTTGTTTTTAATTCTGTGATGCGTACATCACAGAATTAAAAACAGATGGATACTGGATTCAGGTGGTTATTTCTTAATAAAGTAAGTGACTGCAAAACAAATAAATCAAATGCTTGACTATCAGCCACTGATTACCTAAAAACATGGGAGCAAGCTGAAAAGGAAAAAAGATGCAGAGAACAATTTGTGAGATGCCTGCTCCCTCTACTGGGTGCTGTTGTGAATGGTACAAATGACAGTAAAACTTCAGGCTGCTTTCTAATGCACAACGTTAATGCAGTATTCCAAATCTTTTGCCCGTAAAAAGGATGCAGAACCCAAAATAACTTGAAATCCAATGACTGCAAATCAGCTGATAATTACTATTATCATGATATGGCTGCTTAATTTGGAAAGCAATCCAAACAAGGCTTTGCATATACATGTACATGAAGAGATGACTGAAGAACCATGTCTGCTTTCAGTTCCTTACAAGACAACCTTATTGGGAAGGCTGTTTTTCAGTTTTTGCTAGCAATTACTTACTACACTGGAGAAACTGATATTTAACACACTGGGAAACAAAATTCTAATAGGCAAAAATATCCCTTTCAGACCCAACATTCATATTTGATAAAAAACACAGAACTGAGTTGGCTGAAAACTTCTCATGACAAGTTTCCAGAACTTAGTATTCACCCTGAACCATTTAAAACCAGGTCTTACCTGTTGCTCACTGACAGGTCGCACTGGAATCCTGTTGGTTGATGGGAGAATTTCACCAGGGGGCAGCGAGCGTTGAGTATCTTCTGTACATTTGAATACCCAGGACCAAAATTGTCAAGACAGTCACCAATTATAGAAAGAATCTTCTGAGTTGCTAACCTTTCCGATGGCAATCTTTTCATCTGATACTCCATTTCAAAGGGACCTTTTTTCTAACGAAAGATTTTGAAAAGTCAACTGTTAGTTCTGGAACTAAAGAGAAATTTAAGAATACTTCTGCAAGATTACAAGAGTTTGCAGAGTAGCAGTGTAGTAGAGTGGATTTTCCAAAGCAGTCTGCAGACCTTGTAAAAAGTTAAACCACACTGCTTTTTCTTGTACAATTCTTTTCTCAGTGATTCAATTTTTCCCACGCTGATAGTGAGTAACTTACTGTGAAGTTGGCTATTCTGATGAGGGTGCAATGCCACTACATTACCTAAAACAGTTCATGTGGGATTCTCAAGACGGCACATATGTTGACTGAAGAAGGTATTACAAGGCAGGAGGGACAAAACACAACCAAACTGTAACTTGCCAATTTCAAACCACCAGTAATTCTATTTCATAACCTCAAAGTACAGTGTACCAGTCAGTACAAGTATAAAGGAAAATGCCTTTTTATTTAAAAATAAAATAAAAAATCAGCACGCGAGTTGCTTGCTGCTTCAAGATGAAGGTTAGTTTCCTGAAGATTTAAAGTAATCACACCAGAGCAGCTGCCTTCTGACATCAGGCGTAAATTTCCCTGTGGATCTTTGAATTTTGAATTGTCACGTGCAGTTTACACCCCAGTAAAACAACCTACAAAATCTGTTCCCTTTATACTCTCTCTCAGTTTTTAAGCCTCAGCTAATTTTGCTTGCTGACCTGATGCTTCATAGTGGCTTATCCTCCCCTCTGAAGCATACGATGAATAGAACATGAATTCACACAATACAAAGAGCATTACATGGTGAATTAATTAGTCCTCCAGGAGACAAGTAAAGGTGGTCACTTTTGTTGTCACCATGCCAGTGCAAAGAATGCAGACCAGCAAAACAGTTCAGAAATCACAGACCTTGCAACCCTTCCTACAGTTACACCTCAGGAACTGAAATTTACGTCCCCGTGATAACAACGAAGGTAACCTTTCCTTACTGCCAACAGAGCTAGCAAATGTGTGAGCGTATCAGAAGAGTGGTCCCTAACCCCACTGGGCTGTGCAGCTTCATGCTACAGCAGTGCTGGCTCAAAGGAGCCTGCAACTATGAACTCTGAGAGAGGTAACAGGAGAAAAAATATAGAGGGACTTGGCTGACACATAGGCATCCTGGGCAGCAGCTCGATATCTTAGAAGCTGGATGGACTTTTTCATGATGAAACAGACGCTCCTAGTTGGTAGAACTTACAGATGGAGTTTTGGTTCCTCTTGTGGGAGAATGAAGTACTGACACCACTTGTGATTCTCCATCAGTTCTTACCATGCCACTCAAAACAGGTTTGAACAAACTACTACTTTGGGGGTAAATTCATTACCCTTGGTAGCTTAAATGTTATTATCAAACACCTGTTGTTACTCTAAACTTATCACAGAACTCTGCTTTAAGTCATTCACTGATCTGCCAAACCACCAGAAGTTGGAAACAAATGCTGTGCTGATAATCTGATCTTGGTAAGGGAACTAATTACTGAAGCACTGATGATATGGACTGAAACATCTCTAGAAAGGCTAAATACTGGGAGAGCAACCATGAACTAGTTGTCCTTGTGATCTGAGGCATCTAAGAACATGTAAAGAAATGCTAATTAAAAAAAAAACTAAGGGAAGTTCTATTGTCTAGGAAATCTGTCATTAGAATGACATCGTTCATTATGTCAATCAAAAGAAAATCTCCTTGTTCTATACCTTGATTTCAAAACTATTTTAGAAGCTGATCTCAAGCACAGCGATGTTAAAGTGAGAATTTCTGTTCCACTGATCTTACAAAATAGGACTGCAGTGACACGAATCATTCAATTTAATCTGAATTTATTAAGCATTCTCTAATACTCCATGATATGGAGGCATGTCATCACTTCAAAATTCAAAACATAAAAAACAACAAAAGAGAAAAAATATTTTACAATGGGCAGCTGTGATTACACTTGCCTCCCTTCTTGATTTGCAAATGTTTTTCAAAACCACAAATAAAAAGTTGACCTCTCAGGATAAATGACATCAACAGCCAAATGTTCTTTTTCATGGCGTTAATACAGGAATCGTAGACTCACAAGGTTGGAAACGACCTACAAGATCATCCAGTCCAACCGTCTCCTCATCACCATTGCCTCCACCAGCACTAAACCACATCACACAGCACGTCATCCAGATGCCTCTTGAACACCGCCAGGGACGGCGACTCCACCACCTCCCTGGGCAGCCATTCCAGTGCCTGACCACTCTGAGAGAAAAAGTTCTTCCTTATGTCCAACCTAAACCTCCTCTGATACAACTTGCGGCCATTACCCCGTGTCCTGCTCGTTGCCTGGGAGAAGAGGCCAGATCCCTCTTCACCACAGCCTCCCTTCAGGAGGTTGTACAGTGCAGTGAGGTCTCCCCTGAGCCTCCTCTTCTCCACACTGAACAATCCCAGCTCCCTCAGCCATAAAACTTGTGCTCCAGACCCCTCACCAGTTTAAAAAGATTAAAAAACAAAAAAAACAAAAAACAAAACAGTTAGGACTTCTGCAGAACAATGACCAATTTGATGATCTCTCTTCCAGCTTTCACACATTAAGTCATACATTTTAGGTATACTCATTTTTCTCAGAACTGGGATTAATGCCCTGCTGAAGTACATGTGCTCAGAGAAATCATATGCTTACCAATCCAACACAGTTTCTAATACCAGTCTGACTGAACAACAGATATATGCATATAAAAAGGATTAAAACAAATGTTAAACTGTGGGAAAGATGTTTTCACACCTAAGATTCACCATGACCCACTGCCTTTTTTCCTTAGGCCTGTTTTGTAATTCTGAATTCATCTTCTTCATTGCAAGACTGCCTTCAGAGTACGAGTTTTCTTTTGAAAGTATGACATGAAAGAAGGATTTTACTGCTGCACAGCATCAATACCAAATTCAGCTAGTTACAATATGTGCTTTGAAAACAGGCATTTTATACTTAGATTTTTTCCCCAAAACTCAAGAGGCAACTAAATGTAAAGGGTTCTTGGATTTTAACCCTTCCAACAAACTCTCAGTCATCCTGTCTTTCTGCTGACATATCTTTCATTATAATCAATCACTGCAATAAAAATGAAAACTCTGAATTGAAGGCATATTTCTTTAAAAATCAAAAACAGGGCAAAACAGAAGTAGCACAGAAAAGTTGAGCAAATCAGCTTTCAAAGTGTCCCAATTCTCACCTCCTTTCGTATTTCCTTCTCCAATTCAAAAGGAATTGCCTACATGCACCAGGACTAAGATACAATCCATTCTAAACAACCTTTACAATCTGAAGCTGCCTGAATCCCAATACAGGGATACACAGCAGAGATTTCCACATCCTCGCATGGGTGAAGACACGGTTAAGATAAAATTTAATACGTGTGCTGAAGAAAGCAATGCTGTTCCCTGAGTATTGCTTATTGGCAGTCTTGTGTAACCATCCAACTTCTCAAGATACAGATGGAAATTCTGCATTTGGTAAGCAAATTCAAGTGAACATATTTCAATTTCAAGCCTCTACACTTGCTTAGTAAGCATCACTTGTCTTGGTGCTAACTGCAGTGTTATCAATGAGATAATCAAATAATTACAAAGTACATTATGGAAAGTGTGACAACTAAGGACGTCCGCATTATTATTTGGCTCAGCTCCTGTTTCACTCCTAGGTCCTACTCCCAGCACACCCTCAGGTTCCTTCCATGAGTAACCCAAACCAATTCCCTTCTCAATGAAACCATAGGATGCTAACACTATAAATTGTCTCCGGACAGACACTGCAAACGTGAACAGCACTAACTGCAATTATCCACCAGCATTACCCCAGCAGGTCCCAACACCTCCACACACCCTTGGAGGTAATGTTTCTGTAGCACTGTTACAGTAACTTTTTAATCTGAGGAAAAACGATCTGACAGCACTCTCAAAATGCACACACACACACACACACACACATGCATAAGATTATTATGTATCAGGATAGAGAGGACCCTAACAATCACAGCCCAGTATTGGTCAAGTCCAGCAACTCCAGAAAAGAAAAAAGCAGCAGGATTGGAAGGTCTGGTATTGCTGAATTAGCTTTGGAGGATGAAGGTTTTCTTCAGTCTGACAGTACACACAAAGTCTGCACAACCAGCAAATTATTTTCTTCCTATTACAAAGAATGAGGACTGGAGCCGCCAGCATCATCTTACCATTTTTGTAGGATGCTTCTGTATATCACGGAAGTCCAGAAACATGTCCACATCACACCCCAATTTGCCAAAGGTGTTCACTGAAGAGCCAAATGGCTTTACAGTGCTGTCTGGAAAATACGCGCGTGCAAAATCCCGAACCAGAGAACAGGCCAGGTATCGGAGCTTGATGTTTTCTTCTGTAAGTTGATACTCATCCAGCAGAGTGTACATTTGACTGCTTACCTATTTAAGAAAATAAACATTGCTAAAGCATAGCGACCCATCTTCTGCCTACCGATATATATTTTTATCCACTTACTATCACTGCTCTTAAACAACTTAGACTCAAACAAGTTTATTTCCTACAGACAAAATTATTGTAAGCATCAGTCATTTTTTTCTATTTGTTTCAATGCATGACAGCCATTGCCACAATTCTAACAGGGGTGATTTTTTTAACAGAAAAAAAATGCTTTAGAAGCTTCACATGACCACTTGCAAATGTTACATGGACAAGGTTTGTTTTCATTTGAGAGAACTTATACTTACACTGTCTGCACGACAAAGCTTTGGAATAAGCTCATTCACTGGAATGTGAGACTGAGGAGAGAGGTTGACTGGCCTTTCTTCAGCAGCTTGACTACCGGGGTTTTTCAGCGTGAAAGTAAAAAGTCTGGATTTATATGGGACAACATGATGCTCAGCAGCCCTTGGAATTCCAGTAACAGCCTGTAGTGAGGCTACACTGCTCTTCTCTGAAAATTCTATTAAAGCATGAATACCCTAAAATATTAAAAATGGAAACAGTGTTAGATAAATGCATATGAGCATTGAACTGATTGCACTCACATTATTCAGATCTGCCTGGGAATACTATGGCATATTAGTAAGAGTCCTGAAGCTGAATGGCAGCTTCTGCACGTTAATACTTTAAAGATAATTTTATACAAAACATCAAAAAAATTTAAGCTGTTATTCTTGATAGTAAGCACTAAATCTACCTTCAAAAAGAAGCATAACAAAGGGTTAGCTCTATTTTTCAGACAATCAGCAGTGCAATATTAAAATTTCAAACATTTGGCACAAAATCTTTGGCGAGATTCACTTAAAAACAGGCATTGCTTAGGAATTTAAACACACAAATTTGTTGTGCAACATCTTGTAAACAATAATAAAGACAAAAACTAGTTGAATATATTGTGTTTAACATGCATAACTTAGATGTATGAAGGCTTGACCAAACGATTGTGTTTGTTTTCATCCAAGTTTAGATTCTAGTTTGTATTGTCAGCTACTTACACGATTTTCAAAAAAGAAGTAATTGTCAATGTTTCCATGACTGGATAAATACTGCAGTAATTTTTTTTCATTAAGTTTTGATGGGCACTTAATTAACACACTCCGATCTGCCTGTTCCAATCGTTCTGTCTGAACCTCAGTGAATGTCTTCTTCCTGCTACTGACTTCAGCATCTGTAAGAAGAAACAAGCATCAAGCTTTCCTTCTACACAAATATATAAAACTGATTTTTGTTCTCTGCTCTGGGTTTGCTCTTGCACTCTGGGAGGATCACAGCAAAACAGAAAACTCCAGAGAGAAAGAAATACATTCAGAAGTGTATTTCTCTCATAAATGTATACATTTTCTAAGAACAAAGAATAGAAAATGTAGGATGGAAACAATATTGACCTTCCTCGATACCACAGGACATCTGATGATATGAGGAATCTTTGGTCTCTGATTTACTACTCACCATTCAGCATGTGAGTCCAGCATCAGCACCGGACAGAGCTACACTGTTAGCAAGCTGCTCTAAAAAGATAATGCCTCTTTGCCACCACAAAAACAGCACTTTCACCTTTGGAACAATTCTACACTTGGTTATTTTTACAACTCATCATCTTCCTTTACAGCAAACTCCTACACAAAATTTTCTTTCTGTACTGTATTTTCATCAACTCACTTCAAATAACGCGCAGAACAGTCACACCTTGCCACACTACTGGCAATCTATACTACTGCTGCTGACAGTCAACAAAATCAGCATGGAAATAAGATATGCTGGAAGATCCAGAAATACAGAAAACACATCCCAAACCGGAATTATAATTGCAAACCTGCACAACTCAAATAATCAAACGACCACACCATGTTACATGTCTAAGGCTTCCTGTTCACACTACCATTCATAATTCAAGATTGGGAAGACAGAGAGCATGCAGCTATTTCCCTGTGGCTACCACTTGCTACAAAGATTCAATAGGCTGCTTTCTTTGACTTTGCGGATTGAAGAAGATCTTCTAACCAAACCTGTTAGCATCTATACTTATGTAAAAAAAAAAAAAAGAAGTTCTATGGTTTCTTTCTGCCTTTTACACGAGCTTGTAAACACAAAGCAGCTGTTTCCACAGCTTAGTTGTACGTAGCACCTCTCATCAAAATAATGAAGAGGCACAAGTCACTGAGTATCAACAGTAGACAGTCCTCAGATGAATGTGTTCATTTTAAATGCTTGAGACGCAGTCCTCATTGCTTTCTTTCTTTTTCTGTACAATGTTTCAGGTTTGTGTCATAGCCTTGCAGTCACCAAACAGGTGCTCACCTGCACTGCTACTGGTCCCCAGCGGTGCTCAATGCACCCTAATGCTGCCCTCTGTGATACCGACATACCTGTTCACATAGCATGGAGCAAACCAGGTGAGACAAACGACCTAATGCATACACCAAAACAAGAGCATTAACTGAAATCTGGACGTAGTCCTTCACCCAACTTGCTGCATGCTTGTTAATCCAGGGACAGAAACACCACAGAATTGTGTTTTTTCTGTGTGACTGTCATACTACAGCCCAGCCTTCCCCGCTACAGAACTACAGAATGCCTCTCAGGCTCAGAAACACGAGCATACACGTGGCCGCCGAAGGCCTTTCCAGCTCTGACTCAGGCGCACGGGCACAGGCTGGCTGCAGGGACCGAGCTGCACAGCACGGCCACGGCACACCGCTCAGCCCTCTCTGCTCCGTGACTCGTCCTGAAGGCGCAGCTAAACCCCTGGGTTGCTCAGCGGGACGGCCATCTCCGCTTAACCCACCTCCGGCCTCCACGCACGCAGTACGCCCAGGCCGGGCCGCGGGCCCCGCTCTCCCGGCTGCACTCCGAGCCGGGAGGTCACACGCCGACCCCGCCGCCCTCGGCCGGTCTCAGCCGGGACGCCGCGACCAGCGGACGCCCCGCGGCCTCTCCCGGAGCGTCACCGCCCGTCCGCCCGCCCCCCAAGAGGACACACGACGGCCCGAGGCGAGCAGGGAGCGCGGCGCGGCCCGCACCGCCTCACCTGCCTCCTCGGCGCCGCCCGCCCGCTGCAGCGCGGGCCCCGAGGAGCCGAGGCGGGCGGCCGCCGGGCCGGGGGGCAGCAGGCGGCCCCGCAGCAGGCACAGAGCCCGCCCTCCCGCGCGCTGCGCCATCGCCCGGCCGTTCCGTGCCGCCTGCCGGCATCGCGCACGCGCACAGCGCCCGGCCTACGGCAGCCGGCGGGGCTCAACCCGGCGCCTCCGCGCGTCTCTCGGCAGGAGTCGTGTAGACCTGGGGGGAGGGAAATGTGGGCAGAAAGGTGGGCCTGGAGAGCCTGTGGAGAGCCTGAAAGCATAGCTTTCATCTGAGCGATTAATTAAAAAGTAAAATAAAACGCGTCCGAGCAGTCACATACATAAGACCTGTGGGCACACCGGTAGCATAGGTTAGGGGTGAGATTAGTGCCTACTTAGCAGCGCTCTTTGGCAAGCTGCACTCTTGTATGTCCTGTGGGGACTATGGTTGTGTAACTTACCCTGATTCTGTATCCCTGGATGACCCAGAAGACTGCTTGTAAAACACTGCCTTTGAATTAATACCCTATTTCACAGAGCGTGAACTCCGGTTTCCTCCACGTGTCCATAACAAGTACATAAGCTTCCTCAGGAATCCTACAGCACATCCTTCCCAAATTCATTGATGTGGGGTGGGAGAAACTCCTCCTCTTTCCTCCTTTGAAGCTGGTCTAAAAAAAGAAAATGGTTTCATTAAAATTAATTGTGGGTTTAGGAAAACTAACAACGCAGGCATGTTCCTGGAGGAAAACCAGCGTGCTAGCTGCTGTGCATGAAGGATATGTTACTCAGCCTTAACCTAGAATCATTTGAGGTGGAAGGGATCCTTAAAGGTCATCTGGTCCAACTTCCCTGCAATGAATAGGGACACCTACAGCTGCATCAGGTTGCTCAACAGCCTGGGCAACCTATGCCAGTGCCTCACCACTCTTAGTGTAAAAACTTATTCCTCTACATCCAATATAAATCTCCTTTATTTTAGTTTGAAACCATTTCCCCCATCCTACCCTGACATAGCCCCATTAAAGAGTCTATCCCCCAGAGCCTTCTCTTCTTCAGGCTGCACAGCAATAGCTTTCCTAGCCTGTCCTTGTAGAAGTGTTCCACAAGTGTTGTGGCCTTCTTCAGGATGCACTCCAACAGGTCTACATCTCACCTGTACTGAGGACTCCACAACTGGATGTAGTACTCCAGGTGAGGTCTCACTCTACAGAGTGAAAAGGCAGGATCACCTCCTTTGCCCTGCTTAGCACACTTCTTTTGATGCAGCCCAGGATACAGTTGCCTTACACGGCTGTGAGGGCTCATGTCCATATGCTGTCCACCAGTACCCCCAGGTCCTTTCCAGCAGGGCTATGTTCCATCTTTACCTCCCTAAGCATGCACTTATTGGGGTTGGCTCGACCCAGGCGCAACACCTTGCACTTGGCTTTGCTGAACCTCATGAGGTTCTCCTGTACCTACTGAGCAGCCTGTCTAGGTCCCTCTGGATGGCATCCCATCCAAAGTAGCACCACTGAACAAGTTCAAACCTGACACAGAAGGTACGTATTTCTTAGTGGAGGTTTGCCAACGTATTTATCACCTGTGTGTTTTGGAGGAGAAAGCAGAGGTCAGTGCTGCTGGCAGGGTTCTGCATGCTCTGTTCTGCTGCTGTCCTGGTGCATCGTGGTCCCTGAGCACTCCAGAACACCACTTGCGCCATATTTTGAACTGTTTTGAATAGCAGGGGATGCACCTGTGACCTTCAGACAGGGTACTCAGTGTGTCTGGCTGACAAACAGAAAAAAAGCCACGCATGCCCCAACACTGAAGCCCTGGGGGGAGCCTGTCCCAAACATATGTAATGAAAGCTTTGTAATGGACGCAAACAGTCCTTTATAATGCAGATAATAGACAGAAAAGGCAGTGCTTGTCTCCTGGGATGGTGTGGCGGTTCTGCCCCACTGCTGCTCGTGGTGCAGGGTCGGCGACCAGAGGCGCCATTCCCTGCGCGATGAAACACCGGCAGAGGCCGCGGGTCAGCACAGCCCTGCCGGAGTTACCGCCGCTGGGACGAGAAGCAAAGCGCTGCTCTGCATCAACTGCCAAGCTAACAGTACCGGCACCCGGAGCATTTTAATCCGAATGCCGCCATCAAATCCTACACATTGTTGTCCTAAATTCCACCAGACTTCCAGCTCAACTTTTATTTAGCTAACGCTTACACCGTGCTCGCGTTCCGAACGGGTGCAACGCTCTGGGTCGCGTGGGGCTGCGACCCGCTGCGGCAGGACTCACAGCGCTGCCGGCGGGACGAGACACAGCTCCCCAGGCTGCGCTCCGCCGCTGCGTGGGGTGCGGAAAACACCGCGCCGCTTTTCCGAGCTCCGGCGGCGCGTCCCGGCGGGGCGGCGCTGACTCCCGCCTTCCCGTAAAGCGAAATAGAAACCGCGGCCGGAGCCCGCCCCGCGCCCCGCCCGCCCCCGGGGCTTCCCGCTGCGGGCCGAGCGGCCGCGGCGCCGGCTGAGAGCGGGCGGGAGGACGGGCGGGAGGCTGCCGGCGCCCCGCAGGTAAGCCCGGCGCGAGGTGGCGCGGGGGTCTTGGGCGGGCGGCACCTGCCGGCACCTGAGGCGCTGCGGAGCGGGAGGGGCGGCGGAGCCCTGTCCTGCGGGTGAGCGGGTCAGCGCCGTCGGAGCTGCGCTCCCCGCTGTGCGGTTGCTGCTGTTTGCGAAGGGCGGGTATGAGGTCGCGTTAAGGAGATCTTTTTCTCAGAAAGATCGTTTTAAGGAAATGCCGTTCGTCATAAACGGGAAAAATAAATTCTTGGCCGGCAGGCGGCTCATGTGATGGTGTTGAAATAATGATAGAATTGGAGAAGCAGTCCCGTGCTGTAGCAACTGACCTGAGAGATCAAGCTGAGATAAAACCTGAATCCCGCTGAGAACACAGGTAGAACACTATTAGAGACGTGATTTCTCGTGATTAGTGACGGATACCTGGGTTGTACAGAAAGACTTAAAGCTTTATTTAAGTGCCCAACACAAGCGTTGGTATGGAATTGAGAGTACCTTCACGCTGTGGTTTGGGAACATGTTGAGGCACAGAGCTTATGGAGAGCTGCGTTTGCTGTCAGCTGCACTGTGGTCTATGGTATGAAAGTATTATCAAGGAGTGAATTGGTTTAATTGTGGCGCTCACTTGTCTCTGCCCACAAGGGACGGGCCTCTGGAGGCTCGTGTTTTTCTGCACAAAGTCCCCCGAGGTTGGTGTGTAACCCAGCCTTGCTCTTCAGAAGCAGCCCCACAGTTCCCGTTAGTAGACTGGCTGATGCTTTTCTCTTTACTCCCAATAATTCAGCATCATAAAAGCAACAAATAAAAGCCCAGCTGTGGGGCAAAGGCTAGAAATCTCCTCTATGATTGAGAGTAACCACTTGTAGGCTTTTAGGGTAGTAGCGTGGTAGGGTGAGATGCTAGGGGTTAGATAACAGCTTAGGCTTCTGCTAGTTCTTGTATAGGTGTAGGCTGACAAAACCCTGACCCCTCTCAGCACCCTGCTAGATAAATGCTTGGGGGTTTCCCCTCCGTGCCCTGATACTGGGTGCCAGCACGTAGACTGCAGGCTGCTGAGCCCATCACAGGGCTTTGGAAGGGGGGATGTGGTACCGCAGCTCTCTCATGCCGTTTTTTGTTCTGCCCATGCTGAGTTTTCCTGTCCTGCCTCTTGAGCTTGCAGCACATGGTCTGAATTTCTCTGCCAGCTGCACCAATTTACTCATTTTTCTTCGACGTTAGAGCTGACGTAAGCATCTTCCAGCCCATGAGAAATATGTGCCGCAAAGCTTCCACGTCCTTGCGGGGACGTAAGATAGTGATCATAACCAGAAACTGTATCTGGGCAAGCTGCATTGCTTCATGACCTCGGGGGACTGAGTCTGCTGGTGGTGCCTGAGATAAATAGGTTGTGCTTATTTCTTTTCTTTTTTTCTTTTGTAAGTATTTTTTTGTTTGCTTGTCATCTTTTACTGAGAATAGGTGCTTTATGAAAAAGGGAAATGAGAGCTCTCTGAATGGGGTATGTGCTACTGGAGGAAAAGAAGATTCGTCTCTTCTTTGCTATCATCAAGCATGAGGCAGAGAGAATAAAACTCCAGACCTAACCATGGAAAACTTATTTTGCAGTAGTACCTGGAAATCTGGGTGATCATACAGCAGCTTGACTCTTTTTAGCTGTCATCTTTTTCTGCAAAAAATCCCCTGTTATCTCACTCAGCCTTGTGATTACTACTTTTACTTTCCATGAAGCCTGTGAAACAAATGATCATATGAGCATAAACCAGTCCTTCTGCTTGAGCTGGTGTGCCATGGCTTTATTTGTTTTGCCTTTTTTAATAGACTGCAAAGGAACACTTTGAATCTATCATCGGTGGTAAATACAGGTTGGAGAAACATGACGTCTTTACCCATTATATTGAGACCTTTTTGATGATTTTGTGTGATGTAACCGGGATAAATATAAGGTAAGTTCACTTAGACATTTACGTGTTGAAAACTGTGTGTGTAAGAATGGTAATGGCTGATCGTGTATATGCCTTTCACTTGGGTAGAATAACTCTGGTTCGATCTGGGAATCTGGGACGAGAAAGGACTTCTTGGGATGCTGAATCCAGTTCCTTAGAGCTAAAGTCCATTTCAGCCAAATGGCCGAGATGTATCTTAAAAGTTGTTGTTAGGAATAGTAAGGGATAGTAGGAATAGTAAAGTGCTTGAAACTGCTTTAGAAGTTCATTACTTTCATAGTAACTCTATTTCTGACTTTTTTCGTAAATTGGTAAAAATTTCAGTTCAAGTCTAATTCTAGTCAGTCATTTGCAGAAAAGGTGGGTGTTGTATCTCAGCTGGTGATGGATGGTGCTTCATGCAGTGATACTAACAGGTGTTCATTACTGGTGGATGCTTATTAGCTTTGCTCTGTGATCTTCTGCTCTTTCTGGACACATCACATAAGCTGTTCACAAAATCTTGGGGATAAATTAATATGATGCATTTATATCCCTGTTTGTCAGCCATTTCCAAATGATGAGTCCTTGCAGTGGCACTGAGGGTGCTCCATTTTTGCATATCCAGCAAAGCATAACTGGCTCATGCTTCCTTACTGTGTCACTACCTTCACTGAGAAACTTTATGTAAAGTCTAAAATTGAATGGTTGGAAGAGTTCACAAATAACTTCCAAAATAGGTTGTTAGTGGACACTTTTTCTTCTTCTCCTCTATACCCATTCTACTCGTTATGACTTTTCTTAATACAAAGTAATTTAAAAATCTAACCATGTAACAATGAACTACTCTCACTCTGATCACTTCTTTTCCTTCTTGATTTGCTACTGTAGATTCAGATGAAAAAATGTCCTCAGGTTTGTTTTATTTCTCTTTTTTTCAGGAGTGGTTTTGCAAAGTGGACAGTAATGGAGTATATGAGCACGGGTAGTGATAGCAAAGAGGAAATTGACTTGTTGCTAACTAATTTAAATATGTCTGAAGTGATAGACATCATGGAAAACCTTTATCCAGGTGGAGACCTTGGCGTCTATGAGGACAGCTTAATTACGATGTGTGAAGAGGAAAATCAAAATGAAGAACGTGCAGAATCTTTACTGTTTTGTGAGAGGGAGGTTTCTTTGATGTCCTCCGTCAAATATGGGACTGTGGAAGACCTGCTTGCTTTTGCAAATCAGGTGTCTAACGCTGCAAAACAATTTAAAGGATGCAGACAACAAGAATCTGGAATCCTCTTGAATATGGTATGTCTTTTTTCTTTTCACTTGAAAATTAGTAGGTATAGGTGTTACAAGTTATTGCTGAATCTAAGTGGAGATCACCTCCAGTCCCAGCTGTAACAGGCAGACTGAGCAGTAACAAGAAGCTTGAGCCTGGAGGGGATTCCTAGGGACATCAGATCCAGCCCCTGCAGTCCCAGGCAGCAGTGAAGAAACATCTGCTCAGAAAGATGCAGTCTGTGTTGCGTGTTGGTAGCCTGGAGATTAGAAGGCATTTCCCAGTGCTGGGGGCAAGTTTAATACGTGCAGTAAGAAAGCAAAAGCCACAGATGTGAGGGCTTACAAGGAGCATCTGGGAGTTCTCCAGTGCCTTTGCTCATGCAGTAGCAGAAATCATTATGCTCAATTCCCAAGTAAAGGTCTGGAATCTATTCTAAATTCATTATCTGCACAAAAGGTTGCAAAACACGGTAACAACGAGGAGAAAAGGTGTTTAACATCAACAGCAATGTTTAGAAATACAATATTGTGTAATATATCACACAATGCTAAATGCAAGCATAGATGCGGTGTCTTGAGAGATGTTAACAATTTTTTTCCTAAAATGACCTTTCTTCTATAAACACCTATGAATATTAGTGTCACTGAACTGCTAGTAAAATCAAAATGTTGCTTTGGAAACAACCAATCATAAAATGGAAGTTTATTCATATATTTTTGTCTTGCTGTTTTCTTAATATGTTTTAGATCTGTCATCTAAAATTCTTGCATGCAGTGTGTTTTGTACATGAGGATTCATTGCTTGAGCCTTGCCAGTTTCTTAGCACTGAAACAGCAAAGCGTAACGAGTTATCCTGATTTTGAGGGAATATTGCGAAATGGTCACGTCTTGAATTGTAACACTGAAATGACAATTACTAATATTAAATGTGTCCTATACTTAGGGTAGGCACTGTTTTATGTACTCACACTTGTTTTGCTTGGATATTATTTCTATAGATGCATACAATTGGTATGGACCAGGTGTTATTAGGTGCACGTGACTCATTGAGCAACTGAGGACTGCAGGCAGGGCCTCACCAATGGATGCATTTCAACAGGCACATCTGCACTGCATGTAGCTGCTGCTCCTTAGCCAGGGTCAGGAGCATTCCTGGCTGTCTGCTTACCCCACAGACTGCACTGCGAAGGGCCTCTGAGTGCCCACACTGAGTTTTTTTAAGCTGGAAGACAGCAGTCTACAGCCACAGGAGAACGTTCAGTTCACAGTGTCAGGCAAGGATCTAGTCTGATGCAAAGCCTGCTGAAATGCGAACAGTGTGCTGTTTGTTGATCTCTTTTGTTCTGCAGATCCACCCTGTATCCGTGTTGCTTACTAGACAGTTGTAACACATGCAGACTAGCTACTTTCTGCCTGTGAAACATAGAAGTGCGTAGGGGAGGTGCAGGAGCTGGTACAATTTTTGCCTTGGTTCTAATAAGCACCAGGGAGGCTCATTCTGCTCATCCTGAGCAAAGCGCTTGTGTTAAAAAGGCACCCTCCACATCACTTAAGAACTTATCCTCCCAAAAGTTAAGTAAGAATGAACTTATTTAACATATTTAAATACTAGTCACAAGTGCCAGCTTTAGATACTTTCCTAAATCAAAACCACCAAGGTAAAGCACAGATTCTGTGCGTGACATCTTAAATCTAAAACTGGTTATCTTCTGAGATGTTGTTATCTTACAAAGGGCCACAGAAGAGCTGAGCACAGTGAGACCATGTGACAGACAGTGATAAATATCTTTGATCTACTTTTATATGTCTTTAAGCATCTTGGTTACCCGTCAGTAAACAGGTTAACAATATTCTGTTTAGCGGTGATGCTGTATATCTCTGATTTAATAAGAAGCATATTTGCTGGAAACATTAGTGCTGTTTTAGCTAAGAGAATATGAAGAGACTTCAGAACCAACATCAAACCTGAAGCAAGACTTCCATCACTACAGTTAGGAGTTTGGTCTCTGGCATGTGCAGAGGGAAGGAGCTCTTCCAAAGGGCGATTCAGAGCAAGATACTGACTTGGATGCTCAGAACCACTTCGTAGAGGAACCTCCTTGCCCTGGTGATAGTGCAGAGACCCAAAGCTCTCTATGCATGACCACCTAAAACAGGTAGTGTGACTCCCAGTCACTTTTCAGCTGCAGAGTAAAACTGCAAGAAGGTAGCTGGTGAAATCACAGCGGACTTCTTCAACTGCTTCGTAAGCAGCAGAAATTCTGATATGAGATGGAAAATTGAAATTCTTCTAGCAGTCCATTTGATATTAGGAAATGCTGAAACTCTTGCTCACATCATAGAAGATAGCCTGTGAGTAACAGCTATGTGGCATAACAAGTAAGCAGATTGCAGGAAGGGCAAACGTGTGCGGGTAAATCTAATAACAAGAGGTGGGTAATTTCATTAACCCAGCTGCTGTTGTTGTTGTTTCAAGACAATTAATTGCAACTTACACTTTGTGAGTTAGTCACTTGAGAGAAACGTGGATGCCTGGGCTGTGAATGGATGCCACACCTCACATGCTGTTCCCATTTGGTGTTTCTAAATAAAGACTGCTGAACAGATTGCGTGCATTGTGTACATTCATAAGCAACATATATTTTTTTTCCATCCCATGCATAAGATTAATTAGATTTGATGTAGTTTTAACTTCAGAGTGATTTATTATTTCATTGTAACTTAACTCCACAGATCACTCCCAAGAATGGCCGCTATCAGATTGACTCGGATGTGCTCCTGTTTCCGTGGAAGCTGACTTATAGGAATATTGGCTCTGACTTTATTCCGCGGGGAGCTTTTGGGAAGGTGTACTTGGCCCAAGATAGAGAAACCAAGAAACGGATGGCATGTAAACTGGTATGTTAGTTCAGGAGCTTTATCTATGTGCAGATACTGTGTGACATAGAGCATGGAGTGTATTTTTAAATGTGTCTGCATTACATTCCACTACTGGGCTGAATATTGCCTGTGTTCCTTTGGCCTACGTAAAGCAAGAGAAATGGATGTTTTTAATTGTTAACTTGTTTTCAGCCTTGAGACTTAAAAAGTTTAAGCGCTGTGGAAGTGTCTGGAAGCCTGTATAGCTATCCTGTGGGCAGGCCTGCTACCCTCTGCAGCTGTGCCTGGGGTAAATGGAAGAATTTATGCTTGTCCAGCAGTAATTGTGGCAGTAATGTATGAACATCGAATCATGTCCCTGCTGGAGATGATAACGAAACCCTGCCTCTGCAGATGATTCTGGGATCCCACCCTTCAACTGGGGCTTTCAAACATGTGTTTTTTTACTGCAATGGAATTTATGTCATAGTGATCTCAGCTTATGTGCAGATCTCATGGTGTTTTGGACACTAACTCAGCATAAGCTTGAGAGATGTCTCTGGGAGATTGCTGACCACCCCTCTATGTTAATGCAAGCCTGTGTTTTCTTTTAACATCACCTGTCAATGAACTATTCTGAATTGAGGGTCAGCAAAAACTCAAGTGGTATGCTTGTCTATACCCCGCCACTCGTGAATAAGTACCTGCCTTCTACGTGCAACAGAATAGGCAGGGAGTTGTATGTCCTGCCCTTCTGCCAAACCTATGGGCCTAGAAAAGGATTTAGTTTGCCAGTCCTGCATAACCCACTGCAGGGTTAAAGTTATCTAATGTTTCTGAATGTGCAAAAAGTATTTCTCACTGCACTAAAATTATTGGTGTGTTAATTGCTTCACAGCCACAAGCCTGAGGGGCAGAAAATAAAAAGAGTGATAATAGCCTTCCTGAGTGTAAACAAACATTGCTTTAGTATTAATATTTAATATTGCTTTAAACAAACTATTGCTTTAATAATCTGCCATCAGTACTTTTAAAATAAATAAAGTGTTGCTGAGTGCTCACTTTAAAGCAGACTTCCTTTCTCAGAAGCCATAAAATAAGGCTGATAAGGAGTTAAACAAGGTCAGTAACGGTGCAGAGTACTGTCAGTCTGCAGACAGTGCTGAGCACTGTTGTGCTGCAAGCACTGATCCACATGTCAAAAGTGTGTACAGTTCTCGTAGAGCAGATGAGGCTGCACAAAGCTAGCTAAAAAAGCCGTGGGATTTTTATCTCCTTCACCAGGAAGTTTGCATAGAGCTTTTGCGTAACAACCACCCGTTTTTGACGGGAATAACTCTTGCTACATTGCTTTTTCTGGAAGACTGCACTTTTTATTAAGGCAAGATTCCAAAAATTCTCTTATTTTTGAACAGGATGTATTTGGATTAGAAAAGAATAAAGCACAAGATCAAAATAAAGCTTCATATTTAAACAAGTAGTTAAAAGCCCTTTGCTTCCTTCTTCCATTTTAATCTATAGGAAAACTAATGTTAGTATAAATAACCTGGGTTTTGAGCTGCTTTTATGTGGTTCTGTTTCCACCTCCTAGGTGCCAGTGGAACAGTTCAAACCATCAGATGTAGAAATACAGGCATGTTTCCGTCATGAAAACATTGCTGAATTATATGGAGCTATTCTGTGGGATGAGACCATTCATCTTTTCATGGAAGCTGGGGAGGGAGGATCTGTCATGGAGAAGCTGGAGAGCTGTGGGCCTATGCGAGAATTTGAAATAATTTGGGTGACAAAGCATATCCTGAAAGGGCTCGACTTTCTCCACTCCAAAAGGATTATCCACCATGATATCAAACGTAAGTGTGCTCTGTTCCTTGGGGGTGCTCTCTGTTCCAGATCAGGGTGGGGCTCTCCTAAAAACCTGCTACAGAGGTGGGGTGCGTAGCCTTGCATCACAGGGATGGAGAAACTGGATCATGCCAACAGATAACAAGGTCGGTTCTTCAGATAAGTTATATACACTATTTATTGCTATGTTAATAGAGAGGATGATTCAAAAGTCATCAGTCCTTTGCCTTTCTTGAGCAATACAGATTTGAAATAAAAATCAAAAGAAGTTTGAGCAAAATTATCAGAGTGCATTAAGCCAGAAGTTTACTTCTTTCTGTGGAAATTTGCCCTAAATATTTCCCTTCCTAGAATTATAGAATGGTGTGGGTTGGAAGGGACCTCAAGGATCTTCAAACTCCAACCTCTCTGCTGCAGGCGGGGCTCCCAACCTCCCCATTTAATAATAGACCAGGCTGCCCAGGGCCCCATCCAACCTGGCATTGAACACCTTGGGGCATCCCACAGCCTCTCTGGGCAGCCTGTTCCAGCACCTCACCATGCTCTTGATAAAGAACTTCCCCAGCATCCAACCTAAATCTTTCCTGTCTTCTTCTTGTGCCTGCTTTTAGTAGTTCTGTGCCTGTACATGGCTGTTCCTCAGTTTGACTCCGTTTTGGAACTAAATACATAATTTCTATTGTTTTTTTTTTCTTTTAACAATTATTTCAAATTTCAACTTGTTTGTTTTTAAAATCCCCTGGGCATTAACTTGTGTAAATCATCAAAATATATTGATACTAAAACTAAAATTATTGGAATCATATTTAATTGCTTTATCATACAGCTTTAATGCACTGCATATAATATTATATTATATATATTATATATATTATATATTATAACATCAATATTGAATACTGTTCCTCCCAGTATCTCCTCCTCACTGCAAACAGATAAAATCTGCCTGCCATTCTAGTAAGAGTGTTTCTAATTAAGACATATTTCCTCTGTAAATTTATTTTTGCTTAAAGTAGATTTTTTTTTTTCTGTGTGTGTAAAATAGAAATATTCAACTTAAAGTGTTAGAATAATTAGTTGACAGGATGATTATTAGGAATTACCAGTGCTTCTGGAACAGGAGAGATAGTGGGTGCCCCATCCCTGGAGATAACTGAAGGTCAGGCTGGACAAGGCTCTGAGCACCCTGATCAAGCTGTAGGTGTCCCTGTTCCTTGGAGGAGTGTTGGACCAAATGACCTTTAAAGGTCCCTTCCAACTCCAACAGTTGTTATTCTGTTATGTTAGCAAAAGGTTTATTTGGAGTACTACCCAGTGCTCTGCCTCAGATACCTGATGTAGAAAAAGCCCCCATACATCTGATTTCTTCCTGATTGAATCCTCTTCTCTTGAGTCCGTCATGCTGACGTATGGGGGATTGGGATTTTAGTGAGAGAAAGGCTTCCTTGAGCCAAGAAGGAGGAACCACTTTCTGTTGGATTTTAGCAGTAGATCAGTGGGTTGTTTTAACCCTTCAAGCTGTTAAATCGCGAGAGCTGAGTACAAGGGGACAATCACCTCCCTGCACCTGCTGCCAGCTATTTCTGATACAGAACAGGATGCCATTGGCCTTCTTGGCCACCTGGGCACACTGCTGGCTCGTGTTTAGCTGAGCATTGACCAACGCTGCCAGGCCCATTTCTTCCACGCAGTCTTTCAGAAACTCTGCCCCAAGCCTGTAATGTTGCCTGGGGTTGTTGTGGCCTAATTGAGTGTAGGGTCAGTGTTGGGCTTTTTCAGCTGTGTCACGCAAGAAGTGAAGCAGAGCCTGACAGAAGCTGCAGTTTAATGCAATCCCAAGGAGGCAGCAAAACTTGCCATGTTTCTGGCAATGCTGCATTCTATGTGATTTTTTTATGTGTTGTGTAAAATCTGTGTCTTCATAGTTATACTTAAAATTACTGATTTATTCATTTATTCATAGCACTTGTAAGTAAGCGGTTTTCTGGGAGATTACTTGAGGAATCAGTATAGTGCAATGAAATTCAGTTTCTTCCCACTGTATTGGTGGGCCACGGCGGGCACTGTCAAGATGGGAAATCACCTGACTCCACTGTTTGCTTTGGGGGGAAAATATATTTCTCTTGCATAACTTGGAGACTTATATGTAGCTGCAGAAGAAATGAATAAGAATTTCTCAAGACTTAAAAAGAAGCATTACGTTCATAAATATTTGATCAGAAATACAGCTGCAGAGAAAGTCTCTGAGTACACTGTGCCTTAGGCAGAGTTTGATGAAGGAAGGTGAATGAAGCTCCTAGATAGTGCTGCAATTCAGACAGGGAACTCTGCCTTTTCTTACTTTTGCATTTATCTTCTTTCATTATGCTGAGCCACTGTTGCTGACAGGTATGGTGGCTGTGGAGGGGCCTCAGTTCTTATTTATTTTGCCAGTGTTAAGAAATCCCTTGGTGACCACAGTTTTGTTGTCTGTAGCAATAGTTGCACAGCATGCTCGCAACTCTGGAGACAGGAAGGCTCTTCAGAGCAAGCCAGCAGACTGGCTGTACAGAGATCTCCATCAATCCCCCAGCTTGATCCTTTGCCTTCAGCCATTTTCTCTGTTTCTCACTCTATTTTATTTTTGTTTTGTTTTGTTAGAAAAATGACCAGACATTAATTTCTGCTTTTAAACAAACCAGTCCTGCTTGATTTTCTGAGATATAATTAAAAATTGGTCTTGGATCACTAACAGACATGTTCTGGCTAGCAGAAGGACTGGCTGTTGGGACTGGTTGTGCTGGCCTCCTGTTTCAGGCAAACATCCAAATGAAACAGTCACATTGTGAAATAAATGCCCAACATGCTAGAACCTTAAATGCCACTTTTTTGTTTTTCTTTTAGCAAGCAACATTGTGTTTATGTCAACTAAGGCCGTGTTGGTGGATTTTGGCTTAAGTGTTCAAATGACTGAGGACATTTACTATCCCAAAGACCTTAGAGGAACAGAGGTAAGACAAAAGAGGGACAAAAATCTGTTGTATCACTCCTATTACAGTGATGCACAGTGTTGTATCACTCCTATTACTGTGATGCCCACATTCAATTTTGGAGCTTGAGAGTAAATACATATATTACTTGATGTTAATATTTGTTTGTAAGTTTTTAATGTTTTGGTGTTGTTTTTTTTTAACTTGCTGAGTGGAGTCAGGTGTTGCACTTTGAAAGCTGTGTTAGCTTCCCTGCTGTCCCGCCTGTTAGTGATTATTCAACATGAAGTCAAGGAGGAAGTCGGGATGCTCTGAAGCCAAACAAAGGAACAGTGTGCTGGGGAGGGTGGTTTGCAGTGCACCAGCTGCTGGTCAGAGATGCTTCAGACTGGAATTTAGTTCTTTGCTCTGTCAAAGATTTCTCCCAAGATACCAGCCATTGACTGGGGTGACCTGCTGAGCACTCCACCTTTGAAACCACAGAAACAACAAACCTGTGGGTTCTTTAGCATTTCCCACATGTCTGTAGTCCTTATGTCCTATGGAGATTATGTACTGCGTGGTTGATGATTATCTGGTAAAATGCTTAGGTGTTACAGCAAAGGAGGCAGGGGCTTTAAACATTCTCAATGACTTGGACTCTGAACACGCAGAGAGGTCCTGCTCACCATTTGAGTACTCTCATACCAAAGTGTTTCTAGACTGGCAATTTAGCAAACAGCGAAGCAGCAGCAATTAGCTTGGATAGCTGCTACAAAGGGGCCTTTGCTTGCTCTCTGTTGCCACAGGAGGCTGTTTACAGGAAACACTCCAGCTAAACTGTTGGCACTTACTATTTTGATGCTCTTTCACAGCATAGGCATGTGTACAGAAGAGATACTCATGTAACTGACAGAGAGCATCTTGCTTCCTTGGAAGGGTAGGATAAACTCATATTTCACAGAATGCCAAGCTTGTTTGATTTTTGTTTTCAGAATATTTGGGAAAATACTCAGGCATTTGTTTGTGTTGTCAGAGGAGTTAAGAGTTTAAAATGCTTACTGTATTGGAAGTAATATGCTTTCTGGCATTTAATGTATGTGCTTTGATCATGTGTGTGGGTGCATGCATGCTATTAATAAGAATCAAAAAAAAAAAAAGGAGGGGAAGGGACATGATAGAAAAAATGAGATGGAAGCCCTGCTATGTAATTTCCCAAGGATAGAGTTGTTTTAGGTGGGCAGTTTGCGGGTTTGTGGAGCAGGTGATGGTCCAACCCTGGCTGTTGGAGGACAGGTCAAGTTAATGTTGGGAAGCACAATTGTGAGAAACGCTTATCCTTCCCTTTCAGAAAGAAAAATGAGTTTGCATTGTTGAGCACCTGCAGTCATGCCCACAGAAAGCAGACAGTCCATGCAGCTCTAAAACATGCAGGGTCCTGTGGTGTGCTGTATCCTACAGAGTGGTGTAGAGGGGCAGCTGGTTTTCAGAACTGGCCATCTGGTGCTCTGCCGCAGCACGCTGGGTGACAAGTAGGCTGTGGAAAGATTACTGGGAGAAGAGATGCTGAAATTCCAGTCGAAGACTTACAGGAACATTGTGAATGCTAGCATATGAGTTTTTGTGCTCACGAGACCCACAGCACTCATGCTGAGCTTTGTGGAGTCCAGTCATTCGCAAATGCTTTCTTCAGATGCACAGCACTGTTTTCTCATTGTTTCTTCCATGTAAGATCTCATCTCTTGCTCCAGAGTCCTCCTGAGCTTTACACCTCTGTTACATAGCTTTAAGAAGTGATGCAGCTGTTGTCCAGGAGGGCTGTTTCTGCATATGGCTGTGTAATGACATCCCCTTGTTAGGGCTGTATTGCTGCCGTGCAGCAATACATAGGAACTGCCTGGCTCCTTTTGCACTGGCCGGGGCTGGTTTTCACTCAGGAGGCCACAGCTGGAGTCAGTGTTCTCCTCTGAGGGTCTGGGTACTAGCTACGTATTGTGCCACGTTTCTGTCACTGTGTTAAATTGCACAAGCTTCAGCTGCAAATATTGCTGAGGTATTTAAATATCGAGGGTGTGGTTAATTCGCAAGAATGCTAAACTAAAACTAGCACAGTGTTTTAAAAAAAAAAAAAGGCTGATATGGCTGGGTTGCCAGCCCAGCAGCAGAGAGCAGTGGCAGTGTGACAGGATCAGGGGTTGGGCTGCCCACCTTGATGGCAGCTGAGCTCAAGCCGAAATCAGTCTGAAATCACAGTGTGGGTGCACATCTCATGTTTGCTTTTTGTCCTTGTGCAATCGGGGTGTGTCTTGACCTTTCTCACACTCTGGCTGTAACTGCAGACAGGTTATACTTCCAGCATCCTTTTTACTCATGAAAGTAACTGCTTTTCATTCGTACAGATTTCACTGTAGTTGCACTGTTTGCATTGTATGCAGTTGTAATTATTTCATAAAAATGGGATTCTGCTCTTTGGTCTTTGTGAGACTTAATTGTGGCAGATGCCTCTTTCTACCACAGCTTTGGGGAGGGCAATGGACGGGAGTCAGTAGCAGCTCCAGACGTGCTCCTGGGCGTGTGCTTCCAGTCCACAGCTCTGGTTGCAGATGTGATGTGTGATTTACTGGGAAATATTCCATGGTATTTGCGTGAGCCTTGTGGCCATTCTCCATCTGGTAGCGAGCAGGCCAGCAATGCGGCGATGATTTAACTTCCTGCCCTTGTCTCAATTAATGGCTTTTAATGTGATTCTTTGTGGCAGGGTGACATGAACTAATTAAAGATCTGTTTGGCTCCTTTAGAGGGCAATTGGGTGAGGGAAAAGTGGAAACCAGGAGCGACAAGCAGGGCAGCTTGGTGCTGAAACCTTCCCCCTGCGCATGGCCAGGTGCTCGGCAGCGGTGGGCAGGCAGTGCCTCTCGCATCTCAGCTCTCCTCACCCCAGCTCAGCCAGCAGGGAGGTGCCCTCAGAGTGCTTCAACTGCTCTGACAAAGCTCAGCTTTTCTGTGGAAAATTTTGGATGGAAACCATAACTTGGACGGCAAGGAATTTCTGGTTTAGAAATTAGTTTAAGGTTTTAGGAATTTCTGGTTTAAAAAGAAGTGGGAGAGAGCTTGCCTTAATAGCTGCTCTGGGGCTTGGTCACACAGCAGGAGCTGACTTTTAATCTGTGCCTTACCTTAGACCTGGCTTGTGCTTCGCTGCCCCATTTCTTAGGGTGGTTCCCCACCGTGCTGGTTATTGGATAATGAGTGGAGAGAAGACTAAGAAAGCCAGTTCTGCCCGAACAGTTGTGTATTGTTCAGTGTAACAGAGCAGAAAATCTGTTCCCCAGCTGGTGCTTGGTCTCTAGGCTGCAAGTATCAGAGGGATTTGTGTGTGTGTTTCAAATCGCAACATATCATGGCTGGTCATTGCCTATTGTTTTCCACTGCTGATAGTCTTTTTTCTGCTATGTTTCACAGATTTACATGAGCCCCGAAGTTATCCTGTGCCGAGGCCACACAACCAAAGCAGACATCTACAGCATGGGAGCTACTATTATTCACATGCAAACTGGCATTCCGCCCTGGGTGAACAGATATCCTCGTTCTGCATATCCATCCTACCTCTATATTGTGAGTGCCCTTAGAAAAACCATATCTCTGCTTTCATTGAAGGGGCTCCTGTACTCTTGTTGGGAAAGCTTCAGTCATATAAAGACTGTCAAAATATTTGTCAGAGAGATGATATCATCCTTTTTGCTTTGGGGGAGGGAGGGAAGAAGTAGGTTTTGATCATTTAGTGGAAGGCTGAAACTGAGCTGGAGTAATCTCTGTGGTTTTGTTACAAGTTGACAAGCCTTGGGCTTCCTGCAAGAACAGGGATAGAACAGGGTGAAACTTGATTGGAACAAGTTCATCTCTGTCCCACTGTTGGTCTGTTTTGCTTAGAAGCTGCAGATAAAAAGAGCTTGATTCTGTAGTTCACAGGCTGTGGTACAGAAGTCTGGTGAATTTGTGCTGCACTGGATTTTATACTTTCTTAGAATTGCTTTGAGTTTTAAAATTTATGATAACATCTGATAAAAGGTGGATTTGCTGTTGTTACATATTATGTTCTACTTGATTATACTAGCTTGGAGATGTGGTAAGTTGTAAATGAGGAATTCCCAGACCACCAAGGTGATTATTTGTGACTTCTTTTTCCATTGTTTTTGCAGTAACTGTATCAGTAGTCTTTATTATTATTATTATTATTATTCCAACAGATACACAAACAAGCTCCCCCTTTAGAGGACATTGCTGAAGACTGTAGCACTTCCATGAGGGAGTTGTTAGAAGCAGCTCTAGAAAGGAATCCTAACCATAGACTGTCTGCAGCAGAGTTATTGAAACATGAAGCTTTACACCCACCCCCAGAAGACCAGCCACGTTGCCAGAGTTTGGACTCAGCACTGTTTGAAAGGAAAAGGCTACTTGCAAGGAAGGAGCTGCAGTTGCCAGAAAACATTACAGGTAAGTAATACCTTACCTTGCAGCCTTACCTTGCACTCTGTAGATTTTACATTGTGTCAAACTTCAGCTTGACAAATTGTTTGGAAATGAGCTAAACTCAGAAAGCTTCTGGAAGGAGATCAGTAGAAATCCCAATCAGATTAGGTCAGACCCAGCACTCATTAGGTGTTATGTAAAACACTCATTGACTTCAGCAGAAGAACTTAGCCTGAATTCTGCGGCTCCAGAAGAATTGGCTCATGAAAAGGCCTTGGCAGTCATTTGGGGCAGTTTTTCATTAAGTATAGATTGTTGTCCCAAGATGACTAAATGCATCCCTATATTACAGGTGTTTTATTTATGTCAGCGATTTGTCTTTCAGCAAGCAAAGTTTCAACAGCTGCCATGAAAATAAATACTTTATGCCTCCTTAAAGATAAGCCACACATAAAATCTAACTGTAATGATGCTGTCAACAGCACAAGCCCTTTGTTTTAAAAAGGGCAATGACTGCAGGATGGAATTCAGCTCCCTTGTGCATTGATAATTGCTCTATGAAGGATAACACATGAGCCAGTTAAACAAACAAACAAACAAAAAGAAAAAGCCCATAAATATGTGGCCTCAGATAGTATCAAGCTCAAGGGAATTTTGGTGTCAGCAACTTACTAGCAGGCTTCAAAATGCTTTTCTTCTACTTCTAAAATATATTAGGATCACCCTGATAAAGGGCATTTATAAAATGAGCCCAGACAAGTGGTTCATTTAATTGCACTAATTACTTGAAGAGATACCTGTGCAAAATTTTGGGTGCTCTAATGAGTAACTGTTGAAATGAAACATTTAAAGTAATCACTGCCTTTACATCTATAGTGGTGTTACTCCTTCTGGATTTTGCCTCATTGGTGCATAATCCTATGACCAGCACAGGCTATCTCAATCAATTCTTTTGAAGATGAAAGAATATTTGACCATTACATTGGAACTCTAATTTAGGTGCTTGAGATTCCAAGACACTCATTGCACAAGTATTCAGGGGAGTTCTGCAGCTGCAAAGTTTCTTCAGACCTTGACTTAAAAGAAAATAATCGGAGACAGACAGTCCCAGGTTTGTTCTACACTGTCACAAAGAGGATGTCGTTTACTTAAATGAAAAGTCCCCTGTAATGAAGGGGAATTCTCGACTGTCAGAAAACCAGCAGTTTTTTCTTGCACCAAACTCTCCTTCAGCGCTGTGGCACAGAGAATGAGGAAGCTCTCTGTAGCTGTGCCAGCAGACAGGGTTTTTTTTGCAACTGAGCACACTTGCTATTTGCAGTACCAAGCTGCTTACTTTTCTTTGTCCTGGATTTATGGGTTGATTTGTTATCTTTCACTTTATTTTATATGAGATTTATTTTATGTTGGCTTTAAAAATGAAGCTTTCTAAACCACAAACAAATAAAAGCAAATGCTAGGCTAATCATTCCAATAGTGCCTTTAACTATGAAATTGCATTGATGCGCTATCTGTGCAATAACGGCGTGCTTTGTGTCTTTTCTTCTTAGATTCCTCATTGTGCACTGGGAGCATGGAGGAGTCGGACCTGGTAAAGAGGCAAAGATCACTTTACATAGACCTTGGAGCTCTTGCTGGTTACTTCAATATTGTTAGGGCACCACCAGCATTAGAATATGACTGACCCAATAACGTTTTCTATCAGCAGGTCAGAAATGGACCTCTACCTCTTAAAACTTGATTTTAAGACTTGATTTTCAAATCTGTACATAAAAATATTGCCACTGTAGGCTGTAAAATGTGAATAGTTTGTAATTGCACAGATGATTAAGCTAAGCCCTTAGGGACTCTAATAAGCTGATCTCAAGCAATGGTATTGGTGCATCTACTGGCTGACCAACAAGAAGACAAGAAAAAGAACACTGCAGGAATGTCTTCTTTTGGGGGACCTTCCTGTGCTGGGCCTTACACTTTTGTAAAGCTTATATGATACGCTTACAAGTATTGCCATAAAAAAAAAAAAGAAAGAAAAAAGAAAAAAAAAAAAAAAAAAAAAAAAAAAAAGAGCATGCGGGCCATAAGATCTGGTCTGTCTGAGCTGTCCGTAGTGAAAACCTTCCCCCAAAAAGTCTTTTTTCAGTCTTGAGACCTGGCCAGTCTCTGGTTGTTCTCAATGTAAATCAGGAGCTTCCTCAAGCTGAGCTAGTTTCTATATCAGGTGTCTCTGGAGTCAAAGCATCACTTGGTTACAGATATGTTTTAGCTTTGTATCTTCCCTGTCCCCCTGCTCCTTGGGCAGAGGGAGTATCTGGCTGTATCTGTTAGCTCTGGGAGTGGCACAGCAAGTTGGCCCTGCCTCCACCAGCTTTTAATGTTGCAGCTACTGCAAGGATATCTCAGCTAGTTTTCAAGGGTAGGGCAAGTGTCAGTTCATATTGGTAACAGTGGGCAATCTCCAGTCTCTTGCTTTTTAATGCTTTAAACTTGTGTATGATTGGCGTGAGCGCTACGGTTTGGAAAGCGTGTCATTAGTGACAAGCTGTGTTTATGTTCCTATGGAAATGGAATTATATTGTTCTTGCTGTGCCTCATACATTTGAAACACGATGTTTTGGATGATAGTAAAACTATGCAAACTGCATAGTTCTGTACATCCCATGGGATGAGAACGTAAACTTTTATAAAACTCTCTTTGATGCTTAGGATGACTCTTTTTAAGCATTTTTGTTAAAATGGCATACTATGTATGTTGTACACTGAATCTTTTCTGAAGCACAGTCTCTTTTTCATACATCCATTATTTAATGCTGCTCCTTTCTAACATGTAATCTTAAACAGATTATTTCCAGTTTGATACTGATATGGTCGAATGAATAAATCCAGCTCAGTGCCTTGAGAAGTGGTCGCTGTGTTCTTTGAAAGCAGTATGGGGCTGTGACCCTGTATGTCTCCTTCCACAACCCAGTTACACTACATGCATTGTTCCACAGGCTGAAGTGTTGGGTGGAGGGTGCTGTTAACAGATTTTGGACTTGGAACCAACAATTAATGCTTCTGACAAAACCTTACTCTTGGAACACCACACTCCTTCTGGACTGCCTGAATCTTGCACAGCAGATGTGGGCAACATGCACCACTTAAGTTCTGATGGTTATTTCTGCAAAAAAAAAAAACCCAAACCAGATGGGAATAGCCAAGCTGCCCAGTGCTGGCTGCAAATCTCTAGACAGCCATCAGCTTGGAGGAGAGCTGTTCAGGGGAGTACCCTTCATATTTACATTGGCTGCAGCTATCAGGATATTTGAGGATCAGATTTCCAATGTCGCTGACTTAAAGAAGAGGTGCCATAATGGTTTGGATACTCACCTTTTTCTTGAGAGAACAGTGTTCAATTTTCTGATACCTTGCTGCTGCCTTTTGATCTCTGAGATTTACAGAACCAATAGGAAACAACTTTAGGGGGTGGTGAGTTTAAAATATGTTCCCCAGTTTCCATTGTATAAAGTTAAGATGTTTATCATTGCCAAATAGTGGCTGGATGTTATGCAAGTGCTTATCGAGTGCTAAGATACTGCAAAAATGAGGTGCATGTAAGAATTAAAGGTTGCACGGAAACTTTTACTATTGCTTGAAAAGTGTTATGCTGAATTTTTTGCTTGTTTTTTTTTTTTTTTAATGTGATCTTCCTGTATGATAAACACTCCTTCAGAGGGCTGGTACACAACCAACAGATGGCTGTTCAGGTACACTAAACACCAAGCAGTGCTGCTGGCACTAATAGTTGAGGATGATATTTTAGATGAGCTGCAGGCTGCAGCTAAGCAGGGATTTCTCTCCAGAATGATGCATTGCATACTGTACCTCTCAGGAGTATCCCACAGGGATTGTCCCCCATGCACTTGAAGCAATGGAAGTGAACCGATGATGGGGAAGGAATGAAAAGCAGTGGTAGGAACACTGCCACCCAGGGGGATGGCTATTGTGTCCCACGCAGTGGGATTCTGCCAGCAGGTTGCCTTTGTGCTAATTGCTATTGTGTCATTTCATTTTTACCTGCAAGGAGACTGACACCAGCTGCAGAGAAAATTATGTATGTAGAGAACACACAGCTCTGGGTTGTAGGTAGCATAGAAGAGCTAGCAGTCAAGTTTGTCCTGAGATCAACCTGAGACTGAAGCCTCCACTGCTGTCCTCTGCAGAGTTTCCCCATGCTCTCTCTCAGAGCCCTGCAGGAGCATTTGGATGATGCAGAAATTAGGGCTTTCTTGCCTGTCTTCTCTGATACCTGTTCCCTTTAAACAAGCACCAAAGCACTGTTGGGAGCCAGAGCATCCATTTCTCTTCCCTGAGGAAAGCTGAGCAAGGTGCATTTCTAAAACCATCCCCATCCAAAGCTAATAATTGGAACAATGCATAAACAACTCCTTTATAAACTGCGTGCCAACAAAACTCAACAACGCCCCAAAACTTCAGACAGACCGTGGGAGTGGCTCATTACGATCCTGGGCTGTGCTCATGCTACTTCAGGAATAGCCCTGCTGCATGGTGCTGGGGCACAGTGACTCACTGGGGAGGAGACAAGCGGCCACCCCACAACACCCACAGCTGGCAGTGCCTGTGCAACGTGGGCAGTGGGGTGGTATCATTACAGGAAGGTGAGCTCGTCTGTGGCAAAAGGAAGTCCTCAAAAAGAGTGTGAGGATTCCCACTGCCAGGCTTTTCCCATCACCCCTGCCTGCAGCGCTCCCTTCCCACCTCGCTCACCCTCCCTTGGCACTGCAGGTGTCACTGCTCATGCAGTTAGCCATAAGCCGTTTCCAGGTACACGCTGGATTATTTTCAGGGGCGATCAAACAAACTTATGCGTGAAGTAAAAACTTTCAAGCAAGGCAGGCTACCCTTTGGAGGCAGACTGACTTCCCCACAGAAATATGAAAACATACTTGGCGGCAACACATCAATAACTCATCTTGCCAAAAGAGCAACACTTTGGGGAAGGGAAATGACACAAATAATGACAAAAAGGCTCAGGAAGTTCTGGCTCACTTCGTACTTTTATGCAACTGCTATCACAGCCAGGATTTGTTTTCCAGTTGTGCAGCAGTTCTCCAGCGCTGACTGCAGAACCATCCCTTCACTGCCTGTGTAATGCATGTGAATAAGCACGTCTGATAAGAAGGCAGAGATGAGATAGAAGGAGGAAGCCTCGAGGTGTGTCACTGTGCGTGCATACCTTACGGAGAGGCCTGGTATTTCCTCCTGCACCCATTAACTTGTACATGGGGCCAAAATATTCCTGCCTCAGTGACGAGTGTGGGGTGACATTCAGATGGCATTTACTGGGCAGGCACTTGGGCAGTGGTGCACATTCAGCCACCAGCAGCCAGACTTGGCATCTGTCTGGCCCATGTGCTCATCAGCAGGTGTCCATGCACACCTCATCTGCTGGCAGTGATGGGGAGAGCCAACCAGCAGGCCGCAGAGTAGGCTGCTTGTGGACATGAGTCTCTTCTCATGCATGCTTCCGGGTAGCACAAGCTCTGTGGGCTTAAGAATGACAGGATCACTGAATGGCTGAGGTCAGAAGAGACCTCTGGAGGACGTGTGAAAGAAGACCCAACATGGTCACAAAGCCCACTTACCTAAGGGATGAAACAAGGTGGGGAGGCCTGATGGAGACAGTGGGCAATGGGCCATTCGTGCATCAGTGTCCTGGGAAAGCAAAAAATTCTGGATTCAGGCAAGGCAGCATGGCTCTCCTTGTGAACTTCAGTCATAAGCTGGAACTTGCTTTCTCTTAGACTTCAACTTTTTGTGTGCTCAGCCTTTATATTTCAGTTGGTACTTTCCTTCCAGGTTTTCTGCTACTGATATTACAGTACTTCATCATGCCTTTTTAAACAGGAAAGGTCTTATCTATGTTTAGGAAGTGGTTTTAGTGAACTGATGCTACGTGTAAGGCCATCATAGCAGTCAAGGTGCTCACAGGAGCAACTGGCACCAGAAGACTTGAAGACATCTTGTCTTCTGAAAACATTTTGTCTTCTTAGAAGTGATAATGTGGTTCTGCTTGCACATGCTGTCTCAGACCACATCACCTCTGCCCTAGAAAGATTACAAAATGAGGCAGAGTTTAAGCACCAGGGAAATATGTGCAGTGACTGAACATTGGCCTGCATGGGTGATTCAGCCCAGCAGCAATCCCTGTTGGGTTCTCCTCTCACCAGCCCCAGCCCGCGAGGCTCTGACTGTTTCTTTGAAGTCACACACTTGCCATGACATAACATCTTCATACCTGGCTTCTGGAGATACCAGCGACCAACTGGTACATAAGGCATATGTACATAAGGTACATAAATTTTCCAGTCTAATTTATAAAGCCAGTCACCTTATGCTTGCAGACTTGTATTTGGACAGATAAATTGATGAATTTTTGAAGCATGGAAGTGCAGGCCCTTGAAGAACCAGTTCTGACTTCACAGTTGTCTCGTGTGGAGCAGAGGTTGGACTTGCGACACCTCCTGCTCACTGCCTGACCTCAGTGTTGTGGGGCCGCAAGCAGCAGGGGAAAGAAGAGCTGTGCTGCATCCCATTGCCCACTGACACACAGTTCTGGTGGAGAGCAGAGGCTGGTAGATAAAAGCTGTGGCAGACCTTGTCTCCCTGCAGCCTGCATGCTCACATCTGGCTGATTTGCCCAAGAAGTGGGACCCATCCTCCTTGGCTTGCTCACCAGTGCTCTGACACCTAGCCTTGCTACGTCACAGGAATGTTTTCTATTATTTCCACCTTCCTGTAACACTGAGTCTTCTCCTCTCTATCCCTCCAGGCTACTCCTAGAAAAAACTAAAGAAGGAAGCCTTTTTCCCCCCATTCAGGCATCCTTTGATGTGTTGTGGGGCAGGGACATGCCCAATAGCTATGGCTCAATTATCTGCTGTCCCCTCTCCCTGGAGAAGGGACCACAACAGGTCAGTGCTTCTCCAAGTAGCAATAATCACATAAGCACAAACACTGTGATACCAGCATGGCTCTACCTCCTTACAGCCCCTGCAAGGCAAGTTTTACTGAGAGAGGAACCAGGCAGAAAGGCTGAAAGTGTCAGAGCTGCTGGTGCAGGACAAGACTTGTCGTAACTAAGAAGTCACCAAAATGAGTTGAAGAGCAGAATTGGCCTGTGCTGGGACCAACTTCCATGCCAAGTATCCAAGGAAGCTGGCCACCACGGGACAGATCCTGCACTGCTCATGAGCCAGCACCAAGCAGCCCCACTACGCAGTTTGTGCTGGCGGAAGGATGAGAGATGATTTATTTCCACTTTCCCAGCATTGTCAGTGACTCCACCTCTTCTCTCAGACCATGAGGCTGTAAATCCAAATATGCCATCGTTCCACTGCCATCTCATGAGTCAAGGCCATAGAGTGATGCATCCACCCAAAGGGGACCAAGAAGGTAGAAATGGAGAAAGGCATGGAGTGTAGACCAGCTGTATTTGTTTCCCTAATGCATTTATCTATAACATGCACACAGGTGCTTTTTTTCAGTGAAACGAATCTCATCCAGACTCCACCTTGCACTTCCACCTTGCAGACCCAGGCACGCTCTTCAGAAACTCCAGGCAGAGCATGCCTGCTGTGTGTCTGCTGGGCCAGCACATAGCCACGTGCATTTTGGGAGCTATGTTCCCGCTGGCAATGAGCTCCACGTAGCTTCCCATCACAGGGAATGTCGGCTCTTTCACAACCCTGCAGCCCCCCTAGGCTGACTTCAGCTGTTCCCAGCGTCACACTGTTCACCATATGGCACGTTGCCAGGGATGAGATGCCTTCCTATTTGTAAAGGGCTTCTAGCTGCTTCCACTTATTTCCTTGCTGTTGAGAGCTAAGCACAGTGTAGTGA